ACCACTCTGAGCTGTTGGAAACAATTGATTTAAAGCGCTTCTGTCGTGGCGAAACACCAAGTCACAAGCGAAGCAAAGCATATCGAAGCACCGGCGAGTCAACCCTCGGAGGTTGAAGTAACCGCTGGAGGTTACGCGAAAGTCAAAGGTCAGCGACCTTTGACCTGACTAGTACAGTGCGACAGCAAGGACACACAACTGACTCGTTACAGAGCAGTTGCCCGAGTCGTCACTGTATCGAACCGCAACAGCAACAATAAAACAGTTATAGCTGTATCCTTTCATATTCCTTGTACTCTTATATAATCTTGTATCTCTTTGCTTTAATCAATCTACTTTGCCCTCACACACTAGCGCAAGGTGGTTCACAATCTCATCATTAAACGCTTCCGCTATTACACCGTTCCTTCCCAAGGAGAGTTCACCCCTGCAAAGATCCTAAGGGCTTTTTCAGCCCAACATGGTATGAGAGCTAACAGGGGGAATTCAACTACTATCAAGTCACCTACAACATCAGAAGACATGGCAACCCAGAAGGAAAGGAGTTCCTCTAATGGTTCTCCCGGCACTACTCCTACTCCACCTCCTGCCTCTGGCCTACAAACAGAGGAGGGCACGGCAAGAGCAACGACTACCGAGACTCTTGCGAATCAACCTACAGGTTTCGTCCAGAGCATGATGGAGAAGTTTTTCTCCTTCATGTCCTTCTACGAGCAACACCAGCAATCGGCACCTGCGCAATCAAACAACAGCAACAACAACAACGACGTAACTCCCATGAGCCTTGATGGGTCGTCATACGCGCGCGGAAATCAACAGCAACAGCCTACCTTTGCTCCGTACGAGCGCGGGTCCATCAGCTTCATGCCGCACCCGCAGCCTTCACCTGGACAAGAGAAACCACTGGACGCGTTACAAGTTCAGTCGCAGTTCGCACACGTTCTGAAACTGCAGACGTCAAGACCTTTCGACGGAAAGGACTTCTTCACCTGGTCGTTCGAGTTCGAATTGATGATGGAAGGCGCGCAGATTCTAGGCTTCTTCGACGGAACCCTGCGATACCCAACAAACGGCACACAGTATGAGAAGCAGCAGTACACCTATCAGTTAATGATGGCGTACACAATCCTCTTAAGAAACATCACACCGACTCAGCAGCAGAACATACGGTCTTACCGGGGATACGGCAACTCCGCCGAGCTCGCATACAACCACTTGAAGAGCCTGTATCAAGCAACAGATAGTGTAAATCAGAGTCGGTTGATGGCACAACTGACAACAGTCGAAATGAAACCAGGGGAAAAGGGGATGGCGTATATCAGTCGCTGTCGCGAACTGCGCGACAAACTCCTTCGATGCGGAGGATCAATATCAGAAGACGCCTTCGTGACAGTCATCATCGGCGGCCTTGGCCCTCAATGGCACGCCACCAAACCATTCTTCGAGGCCACGGAAGAATCTCCAAAGCAGCACTCTGCGCTGAAATTCACGCCGAGCAACAAGATATGGACCTGCAAGAAGAAAGACACAAAAGAAAAGCGTCAGTACCGGAATTCGCCTTCCACACTCAGCGACGCTACAGCAACAACAACATCCGACAACAACCGAAGCACGTACCTCCATTTTGCCACATCTGCAAGACGTCAGGACATCCGCGCACACACTGCCCGAATCGACAACAATCAGCACCGCCGCAGCGGCAGCTTCGACCTTCAAGCAGCCAAGTGGCATCGACGCAAGCAAACCCCACGAGTCAACCGCAGTCTTCAACAACACAACCTGCACAAGGAGCAAGAAACATCGTCAGCTGCATGGCAAGACTGACCGACTCCTGCATCACCGAGTCACCGCCACACTACTCACCGGAAGAACAACTCGACAACAGCACGCCCCGCCGCGAGTCACTTCAACCAAACCCAACGTATGCAGCTATCGCCCAAAGTGAGCCGTCCGGAAAAGACACTTGGTTCTTGGACAGTTGCTGCGGGCAGCATATGTGCTCTTCAGGACGCTTCGTGCAGCGAGAGTACCAACTCCAACGCGAAGTAGTCATCACCGTCGCCAACAACCAAAACCTGCGCACACGACGACAAGGCGTGGTTCAACTTCAGTCACGGGAGACAAACGTCATACTGCAAATGACGAAGGTCTTAATAGCAGAAGGACTCGGCTACAACTTACTAAGCGTCAGTCAATTAATGGCGAAAGGGATCCACCTCGAGGCAGACAGCTCCACTCAAGAATTCAAACTGTACCACGGGAAGGGCGGACTTTACATCGGGAAGGCAGTATTGAAGAACAACGTCTTCGTCCTCGACTTCGTCCCAGATCTTGGCACCGCCGACAGCGACGGCATCGTCAGCTTTGCTCCTTGGACACACCCTCCAGATCTTGACCCAGACTTCAGCCCCGGCGGTTTCTGGCACTCTCACACGATACCTGAGGCAGAACGAACAAGAGCGTTAGCAACAATTCAACAATCAGCAGCAGCAGAAACTGTCAGAGGTCCACTGGAGATCCCCGATTGATCCTAGGGAAGGGTTACAGGCATGGCGGCCTGGGGGGTTATGGGCGCACTCACCCGCTACACAAACAAGCCCTTTTATCCCAGTGGTTAGTGGCTGGGATTCTGACATGGTATCAGAGCAAAGGTCTCGGGTTCGAATCCCGGTGTGTGCACCTCGGGCATCCCAGTGCGGGGGGGTGTCAGAGGTCCACTGGAGATCCCCGATTGATCCTAGGGAAGGGTTACAGGCATGGCGGCCTGGGGGGTTATGGGCGCACTCACCCGCTACACAAACAAGCCCTTTTATCCCAGTGGTTAGTGGCTGGGATTCTGACAGAAACAGCATCGGCAGCAACAGAGACAACATCGGCAGCAGCAGAGACAACATCGGCAGCAGCAGAGACAACATCGGCAGCAGCAGAGACAACAACAGCAACAACAGGAACAACACCGGCAACAGAAACAACAACGACGCCAATCGTTGGTCCTTCAACAAGACCAATTCTTATCGACGATTCGCCACCGACACCCGCACAACAGTTAACTCCGACTCCACGAGAAGTTCACCGCAGCGCCAACTTCACCGCCGGCTTCTACTCCAACTCCGACACGTACAGACGGTCGCCTGGACATCGCGCCACCGAAGTGTCCTGGCATGCGAGAATGGGACACCCAAGCAACACGGTGTTTAATAATATGATAAGAGCAGGCGTGCTCCACAAAGACTCCTTACTTTTAACCGACGGCAGAGAACTTCAGAGGGTCCACGGAACATGCTTCACATGCCCTGAAGCCGACTTACGCATCAGCCGTTCACACCTCACCACAACCCAAGCGCACCAGCTTACACACCACTCGAGAAAGTATACAGCGACATCTTGTACAACCGCGAACCTGGACAAGGGGCGTACAACTACACCATCATGTTCATTGATGCCGCCACTCGCTACGTCTGGCATCTTAACCTTCCAAGTCGCGAGATGGCCATCGAAGCCTTTGTCGCCTGGCTTCCAGTCGCAGAACGAGAATCGGGAGTCAAGCTGAAAAGCTTTCAGTCAGACGGGGGAGGAGAATACACCTCACAAAGGTTCAAGCAGTACTTGGCGGAAAGAGGAATCAAGAGACTCATCTCCCTTCCCTACGCTCACCAACAGCAAGGCGTAGCAGAAAGGATGAACAGGACTCTGCAGAACACCATGCGCAAACTGCTACGTGGCATGCGGTTACCCACCCACCAGTGGCCAGAGGCGATGGACCACGCTGTCATGCTGCACAACTTGCTATCTTCGCCGTCAATCCCGAACAACGCATCACCGCACCTGCTGTGGACAGGAAAATTGGGCAGCACAAAAATGTTACGAGTTTTCGGCTGCATGGTACAGTACCGACCCCCAGCTGCACGAGCCGGCCGATTCTCCCAACGCGCACAGTGGGGACTACACCTGGGCATCGAAAAACATTACAACGCATGGAAGATTTTCGACATCAACACAAAAGAAACAGTGGCAGCACGTGATGTCATCTTCTACGAGAACCTCACCCTCCGAACATACCTTGCAAACGTGGAAGAACACAACCCAGACCTCTCGGGCGGATTTCTTGGCACCCGAGCCTTTGCTTCAGCCGAAGACAAAGCTGACTGGGACGAGCAAAACGTGGACAGAGCCTTGGAGGAAGCCGGACCACTTCCCTACTGCTCCGTCAACGTCCCAATGGACGAAGAAAATCCACGCGAAAGCATCAACGCCGACGTGTACTACCACTTCACCGACAACGATTACGTTACACCCGCGCAAGTCAACACCGACGAAGCAGAGCGAATAGGACCAAACTTCATACCCGATCCAGAAACGGGAGACGAAGCAGTCTATCCCGAGGATATAACACACCCCCGCTACACACAGAGTGGACTCCAGATACTCGGCCTCGTCACCGCGGTTCACGGCACGGCGATTCCTAAGGAGCCTGCCACGGTTCAGCAGGCTCTGGGGGGGGAGCATAAGGAAAAATGGCGCGAAGCCATGGACAGAGAGCTGAAAGTATTGGAGGAACGCAATACCTGGAAAGTCGTTCCCATTTGCGTGGCACAAAACAAAACGATCCTTACCGGGAAATGGGTCTTCCATGTGAAGACAAAGGCGGATGGCACCATCGACAAGTTCAAAGCACGCTGGGTCGTACGCGGCTTCGACCAAGAGCACGGACGCGACTTCACCGAAACGTTCGCACCGGTCAGCCGACACACTTCGTTATGGATTCTCCTCGCGATCGCCGCCATGAAGAAAAAGAAGCTGCGACAAATTGACGTCGCCAACGCATTTCTCTACGCTGTCGACGCAGAAATCTTCCGCACGGCTCCATCGGAGAGCCTAACCAAGTCTGTCAGCTGCTGAAGTCACTCTACGGCATCAAACAAGCTCCGAGGTTGTGGCAGCAGTACCTGCACGCAACACTCATTCGCATCGGATTTCGCCAGCTACCTCACGACCAAGGCATGTATCGGCTCGCAAAAGGCACCGACTACATCCTGCTAATCGTCTACGTAGACGACCTTCTCTATATCGGCTCGACCGACAGTGTCACAACCTGGTTCGAAGGGGAGCTACAGAAGGATCTCACACTCATGGTCTCGTCCACCGTCACACAATACCTCGGCCTCAACATCCAGGAAGAAGAAAATGCGATCTACCTCAGCGCCGCGAAATACGCAGACACCATCGCCAAGCGCTTTGCACTTACGCCGACTGCCATTTCCACACCATACTGCTACACGGCAGGAAACAACAAGGAAGGCTCTGCTCTACTCAAGCCCGCCGGCATACGCGACTACCAGAGGAAGCTGGGATGCCTCCTCTTCGCAGCTGTCACCTGCCGTCCGGATCTATCATACTCTGCGAACCAGCTCGCCACCTACCTCAAGAAACCCGAAGCATATCACATGGCAGAACTCGACCGCGCTCTTCACTACCTCGTCAGCACCCCAACCGCCGGCCTAACCTACCACAAGAACGGAACCACGACTCCTAAGCTAATCGGCTACGTCGATGCCGATCACGCCGGCGACTCCGACAACAGGCGCTCGCGCACCGGCTACATCTACCGCCTCGAACCTATCGGTCCTATCTCCTGGCAGTCGAGCAAGCAAGAACTAATTGCTCTCTCCTCAGCCGAAGCAGAATACATCGCACTCTGCTCAGCCACCAAGGAAGGACTCTACCTTCGCGAACTACTGGAAGAAGCAAAATTGGCTCAGTTACCCAGCTTCACCCTGTTCTGCGACAATCAATCGGCAATTCGCATAGCCAACAAGAATGGCTTCGCGAACAGAACGAAGCACATCGCCCTGCGATACTTCTTCGTGAAAGACGAGATCGAGAAGGGGAGACTCGAGCTGTCATACTGCCCCACGTCCGAGATGGCAGCTGACTACTTGACCAAAAAGCTCGGAAGGCAGAAATTCGAGTACTGCATGATGCTGACTGGACAAGACCACGTCATCAACGGTGACACTCCAGAAGCGAAGGGGAGTGTTGGAAACAATTGATTTAAAACGCTTCTATCATGGCGAAACACCAAGTCACAAGCGAAGCAAAGCATATCGAAGCACCGGCGAGTCAACCCTCGGAGGTTGAAGTAACCGCTGGAGGTTACGCGAAAGTCAAAGGTCAGCGACCTTTGACCTGACTAGTACAGTGCGACAGCAAGGACACACAACTGACTCGTTACAAAGCAGTTGCCCGAGTCGTTACTGTATCGAACCGCAACAGCAACAATAAAACAGTTAGAGGTGTATCCTTTCATATTCCTTGTACTCTTATATAATCTTGTATCTCTTTGCTTTAATCAATCTACTTTGCCCTCACGCACTAGCACAAGGTGGTTCATAATCTCATCATTAAACGCTTCCGCTATTACATCGTTCCTACCCAGAGTTCACCCCTGCAAAGATCCTAAGGGCTTTTCCAGCCCAACATGAGCCTAGATACAATATTTCAGGGTTCGCTAAAGCACTATTCTGAATGGATCAGTGTTCACAAGTCAGAAATTCTGAAATTGCAGGGACCACCAGGTGAGAAGCCTGTAATCACCCTGAAATCAGGGTAATTACCCTGATAAATTCAGCCCAGCTGAAGATGCTGAGTCCTGACATGTTTACGGGTTGCGCTCTGGAAGTATGTTTGCAAGTGAATGTGTAAAGTTGATTGAAATAGCTTTGTTGTCCTGGGGTTCAGGGGCTGAGAGTAGGAAATTGACGGGCAGAAGTTGAATCACCTTTACCTCTGCTGTAAAGCAACAGAACTTCTGAGACCCCCCACCCCCTCCCTTCTTTGCTCGGAATACACATACAGTGCAAGTTTTAGTAAGAGAATGCACATCCCAGCTGTCACTTGATAACCCCTGAATTTCTAGGTGTTCTCGTATTGAGCCAGAATGGTATAGGGTACCTTTGAAATTGAGGATATGGGGTGTGAAATTATCGAGAACAAGGTGTACTGTATTCCCGGAAAATGGACGTGATAATCCAGAATCATTATCTAGGACAGATCAGCGTCGTTTCGCATAAACACCTCGTACTCCCCCGACCAGTCTTTCTTGTGGTGAAAGTTGCTGCGACTGTTGAAGAAATTCAGTACAGTCACATTCGATCCAGGCACCATGTCTCCATGAAGCTCCAGTGCTGCCAGCTTCGACTCGTTCACCCACCCCAGGTCCATCTCCCTGTCCTCGCGGAAAATTTCGCCCTCGCTGCCCTCTATGTCGATCTTGAGAAAGTCGAATCCGGGCAGCCCGAAAACTTTGAGGAGGAAGGGCACGGTCACGCCGAGAAGGGAGTCCTCCACAACCTGCCCGGGCTCGAGCTGGAGGGTGGGAGAGGTATAAAGACGAGAGAGAGAATAGGGAGAGGCTAATGAAGGAATGGAGGAATAGAGTGAAAGGCAGTTTGTGTCAAAGAGAGATCATCAGATGCAGAGAGATAAGCAGAGGTTGGGAGGGGTTATGCCAAATGCAAACAGCTGTAGGAGGAAGTTCGTTGTGGCAAGGCAAGAGTGCACGAGTGCGACGGAGAATAGATGCAGCGACGTGGCAGCAGCATTTGGTGGGTGGTTGCATCAGGCAGAATGTGGAGAAAGGCGAATGTGCAGGAAAGGCCATGGTCATGGTGTGGAGGGAGTTTTGAGTGGACTCAAAAAGTGGCACGCAGCATGTGGTGCGTGGGGTGCAGCAGGCACAAGGGCAGTGGAGAATGACAAATGAGTAGGAAATGCTGTAATCATGCTGTGCATGAAGAATACCAGATGAGAGGAATGGACCACGATGCATGGACAAGGGCAGAATGTTTGCTATCAGCACTCCTGGCAGATTACTTGCATCAGTCAGCCAACGGATATACCAGTCACATGGTGCACTGGAGCCATTAACGTGCCACTCACACATGCTACAGCCAGGAAACCACCACAAATGCCACTCGCATCACACGATTTCTTAACCGCGAAGGTGAGCGAGAGGGGTAGATGACTCACATGCTACAGCCAGTGATGCCACCCGAACTGCCACTCACTCACATGCTACAGCCAGTGATGCCACCCGAACCCACTTACTCACACGCTACAACCACAAACCCCACCACCAAGCATGCCACTCACATCGCGTGTCTCCTTGACCATGAAGGCCCACTCAGGGGGTAGCTCGGGGTTCCTCTGGCCGAGGGTGAGCGAGAGGGAGGCGACGCGCGGCCACAGGGCAGCGTTGACAGCGATGACGTTGGGGAAGGGCTGTGTGTTGAGCTTCAACGAGCGGAAGTTGCGAGACGACGCCTCCACACTGATGATTGTCGCCTTGGGGTACCTGATAGGGGTTTTGGGTTCAGCATATTGGATTTAGCGTTCGAAGGTGAAGGAGGAAAAGGGCTGTGTGTTGAGCTTCAGTGAACGGAAGTTGCGAGACGACGCTTCCACACTGATGATCGTTGCCTTGGGCTACCTGATGGGGGGAACAGCGGCGGTCAGGGTTTCGAGATTGGTGTACAGAAGGTTCAGGGTTAAGGTATCAACGATTATACTGGGGAAGGGCTGTGTGTTGAGCTTCAGAGAGCGGAATTTGCGAGACGATGCCTCCACACTGATGATTGTCGCCTTGGGTACCTGATGGGGTGACCAGGGGTTTCGGGCTTTAGGTTTAAGGCTCAAGGCTTAGGCTCTAAGATTTCGGTTGTGGTCAGGGGGAAATTACGGAGGGGATGGTGGGAGAGCATTCCCTTGACAAAGAGCTGAAGTGCGAACAGTATCACCTCTGAAATAAAGCTGAAGGCCAAATTTATCAATACATGGGTTCGAAGGAAAGAGATGCTCACATGGTGGCGAAGAGCACAGAGGTGAGGCCGATGTTGGCCCCAGCGTCAAGGGGAAGATGAAAGGTATCAATGTCAAGAGCAAGAACTGGACGAGGAAAAAAGCGGCACTCACATGGTGGCGAAGAGCACGGAGGTGAGGCCGATGTTGGCTCCAGCGTCAAGGATGGAGTCAAAGTGGAAGTATGGCTTGAGGAAGTTCTGCTCTCCCCATTCGTATGCCTGCCGCACCACCAGCGTGTCTGTGAATAGCATCAGCGGGGTGAAAGGAGTGTGGTGGAGAGCGGTAATTCACTTGTCATGTCATTAAAAAGCCATGTCACGAGGTGGTCAAGGCATCTCATGTCACACTAAGTCATGTCATGTCATGTCACATCAGGTGCTTGGAACAAAACAAGTTTCAGACGCGATCAACTATTTGCCACCACACCAGCGTGTCTGTCAACAAAAAAGCTGGGCTGAGTGCCACTGGTGGGAAGGTGATTCAAAGGCGCCAGATTAACGAATGACACGAATGACAAGGAAGGAAACAAGCCAGCTAGACCTACCAGTGGTATTGAGGCGCAGGTTGTACCCATTCATCCACAGCTGCTCCTTGCTGCACCAAAGGTTATCGTGCTGCTCTCAACTAACCTACCAGCTAATCTAAACAGGAACGAGAAGAACCCCACCAGTCCTCCCCCCTTCTTGAATCAAAACAGAGAAACCTACCAGTAGTGTTGCGCCGCAGGTAGTACCCATTAACGCACGGCTGCTCCTTGCTGCACCCCAGGTTCTCATGCTGCTTGCACGCCAGCACGCACTCTGCCTCCTCCTCCTCGCGCACGCGCGCATGCCCCTTCTGAAACTCCTCGTCCAGAGTCTTCCAGTCGATCCACGCGCCCCCGTAGAAGTACCGGTTGCACTTCCACCCGCAGCAGTGGCGCAGCGCGAGGATGGCGCGCAGCTCGCTCTCCGTGTACGTGCACAGGCGGCGAGGGCCCCTGTGGGACAGGCGGATGATGCTGTTGGGGTTGGAGGAGAGGTCGGAGGAGTCTGCATGCGCCGTGCTGGCCTTGGCGATGCTCTCCTGGAACTGGCGTGGGAGAGGGGGGGGATTGGAAGGGGGATGGGGAATGGGGAATGGGGATGGGGAATGGGGATGGGGAATGGGGATGGGGAATGGAGCGATGGGGAATGGGGATGGGGAATGGGGATGGGGAATGGGGATGGGGGATTTGGATGGGGAATGAGGGATGGGGAATGGGGAAATGAGCGCGAATCTGCGCGAAGACAAAACTTGAAGAAGAGGTGAAGAAAGAAGGTGGAATGAGGAATGAACGCGTTAGGAAATTGGGAGAGGGTGATAGGTGGCGCCTTGAAGACGGCTGCATTTCAGACAACAATGCGGGACTGCGTACCCAATCCAGCATTACCAAAATGCAATCCGACATTACCAGTAACCAATCCAGCATTACCAGGACGGAAATCTCCTGGAAGCGTCGGTCGAGCAGCTGCTCGAACGCGGCAGTTCGATTCAAGTCCTCTTGTATCGCGTACGAGCGCGCGGTCATGTTGGCGTTGTGCATGGTGAGCACCGCCAGCATCACCACCACCGACACCACCAGCGCTGCTTGCAGCTGACGTGGCACCTGGCTCGCCGGGTACTTGGAGTCGAACACCGGCCGAGCCATCCTGGGATACTCTCGGTGAAACGACAACTGCGATAACCACAGCAACTACAGTTTGTGCACTAAAAATCCGTAATTAGAGAAATGCGATAACTACACTAACTACGGGACCTGAGGATATGAGAAACAGACAATGTAAGGGCACCCTACCAAGAAACACGGAGTTTTCTGGCTGTTGGAAACGGGTTCCTACGAGGAGGTTCTGTAATGCCTTTTACATGAAGCTCGAAGGCAATGGGTAACAGAACATTCGCTTTATGTCGTGGATGTTAGTGAGTGTACGTACGAAAGCAATGCTTGCCTTAGGAAATGCTATCTTACGAAGGTGCGACTGCTAAGCATGGCATTGCGCACTAGGCCCTAGCCAGATTCAGACCAGCCTACGTGAAGTAACGGAGCGGGATGGCAGGTATTGTCGGGTGAAACGAACGTTGGACGAATCCAAGCCAGACTATGGCGGCTGCGCTTGTAACGAGTTTGCAGTAGACGCTAATAAAGCGGGCTGATAAGGTTCGACTGAGTCGTGACCAGCGCGTGCGGTAGCGAAAAGAGAGAATGCTCGATGACACCGAGGTCAGACGAGCAACGCAATGAAAAAATCCGAGAAACCACAACGGCGATACCAGGATCACTAGATTCAACCCAACAGCGGAATGGCAAGCAGAGCCGAGGAAACTGTGGAGGAGACCGTAGAATGTCAGAACTGAGCTCGAAGCAGGGTGACGAGATCCAGGATAATCCACGGCAATCCCCGCTACGAGCTTCCATCTTACAGCGTATCAATTTTCTGTAACATTTCACGGATTCAACTGGAGTTAAGGATGGGTCCTTCAAAACACAACACACGTTAGCATGATTGAAACAGTAAAATGAGTTTTTTGATAATTATTTGCATTCATTTCATGTGTGCATCTGTTCCAGTTTTTTTTGTTTTTGTTTTTTTTGTTTTTTTTTGTATTTCCCCATCTTGCAATAATATATAGATAGTCTTGTCGCAATATGTTTATCATGTGCGCCACCAGAAAGTAGTCGTTGCTGGTGACGTCGCGCGAGGGCAGGGCTTCGCCGTGCAGAAGCAAGCAGCTCTCATTGGCAGGCTGTAGGGTGATTGACGGGGATTCCGTTCCCCCTGACACACAACGGCCCTCGGATTAGCCACTGAACGGTCAGATACAATTTATTCCCTGCGCGGACACGTTTCATTCGGGGAGGGAGTCGCCTAGCGACGAGCGGTAACAGTAGGTAGCCGGGCAGCAATTCCCCACCGAGCAAACTTTTCCGGCTGCTCTGGGCAGCGTAGGCTCGACGTTTTCTGGTTGTTTGCCCATGGGGTGCACCACGGCTGGAGCGCACTCATCAGGGAAGTCACCAGCCAATTTGGCTAGGGAGAGCATTCATTGGCTGCCAGAATGAATTATCCTCTATCATTGGTTGAGAAGGGAATCCAAGAATCGGCGCATTTTACGGCAGCTTTTGACCTCGATGGCTTCATGAGCATTGCGTCTCCCAGCAGAATTTGCACTAGCATTCCCAATTCGCCTGAGAAGATTCACGGGCAAATATTGCCTGGCAATTCTCCCAGCAATATTCGTGCCTCTCCGCCTGGGCGAGCAAGTGAGCGCAGCTTGGAGCAACTGACTGTTTTGCCAAGCGGAAACCAGCCTCAAGTAGTCAGCAGGCCACCCAAGGTTCTCTCATTGGGGTTTCAGAGCTTCAGTTCTCAGCCTTCTTTGCTATCTCTCTTTGTTGTTGAGCAGTTTTGCTAGGGAGAAGTTTGTCTCTTAGTATTCGGTTGGTATTTGAAGGGCCTTCCATCAGAGGTTCGCCTGTCATGCCGAAAGCAGCGAAGGGCAAAGAGAAGGGAGGGAAGAAGAAGAAGGACCCGAATGCTCCGAAGCGGCCGTTGGCACCGTACATGTTCTACTGCAAAGAGCAAAGAGAAGTTGTGAAGGCCAACAATCCAGACGTGTCCTTTGGAGAGCTTGGGAAGATTTTGGGAGCTCAGTGGAAGGAGTTGGACGACAAAGAGAAGAGGGTGGGTTATTTTGCCCTTGAATACATCTCGTGTACTGGGGACTGATGTTTCGACTAACATCAGTTCGTGCTGTGGCAATTTTCCATAGTAGCGTCAGACTGACGTTACATTTTTTTTTGGGGGGTCATGAATTTGCAGCCATACATGAAGATGGCGGAAGACGATAAAAAGAGATATCAAGACGAGATTGAGAGCCTTGAACCTGCAGATGACGAGTGAAGGTACGTGTATACCTTGTTCACCACCAGTGTATACATCTGCAGCTAGCAGCAATTCTGTTCTGCACTACGTTCGGTGAGACGGAGACCTTACGAAACACAGCGAATCTGTTTCTTGTCCACCGCAGGTCTCGAACGAACGCGGCGCGTTCTATGAAGTTTTTTGTTCATAAGAGCCAGGTTTCTTCATTTGAACGTGGAACGTTTTCTGAAGAGAGCTGGAGCTTCTTGAAGACTTCAAAACTAGTTCTCTTGACCTGGTTATTTGTTTTGCTATCCTTAGGCTACTAGTATTCTCATGTATGTCTAACCCCCCTGTCCCTGATTTACTAGTAGACGTGTCCTTTACATTCGCCTTTCAGACATGCCTTACACGTCAGGGATTTATAGTGATACAACAATGATGAGACGCATAAAACTAGCACCATTCTGGGCATCTATTGAAGCTAGCAGTCAGATTATGGCGCCTCACGCTCTGATGCGCCAGCAGCACTTTTGTCTAAGCTATAATTAGTTTCCTTGATCCCAGCATTCAATAGCATGCCGGTTGACGTGTTCGCCTCAACAGAGGTATTGAGGGGAAGCCACTTAGCTAATGCAGGGGCTGATGAGTTTGGAAGCAGGGGCTGAAAAAAGGGGCGTGAAAAACAGAATGAACAGACACAGCACGAATCAAAAAGAAGAAAAATACAATAGCAATAAAACAATAAAGCAACTGTTCTTCAAATGAAAACCAAAGAAGAAAGTAAATCAATTGTCATGTGATCTAAACCACTAATTAATTGTGACGCGTACATTTGGGACATGTCATGTCCCGAATGTACCCTAACAAGAGCAGCAATTTCACACACTCACAAAGTGTGTGATGAGCATCTGTGACCCAGTGGGTTGCTCGGAAGCTTCCTCCACAAGGATTACGACGAGCAACACGGAGGCGATCACCAGCAGCAGCACCGCCAGGCACCATTGTACCTGCCCTTCCCGCACCTCCCGCCTGTACGGGTCAAGCGACTCCTTGGAATCGCGACCGCCAAAGACGAAGTCCTTAATCTCCCGCGGACTCGGGGGAGGTGGCACGGCCACGAGGTATGAGAACCAGGAAGGGTATGGGAGGCTAGGGTCTGCTCTCGAGACGGACATGAGCGGAGAAGAGAGAGTACTGATGCCAACGGCTCTAGGTGCGACGCGTGACGAACTAGGAACGAGTTTCACTACTGTCGTCTACCGTCCGCTTTGGAAACAGGGAGGAGCAATATTAGCGGCGCATGTGGCTTCTGCTCTACAGATGGAAGCCTGCCTTGATCTATTAATGAAACCAACAGACTGCAAATGATCCAGGTGAATCTACGCTTAGGTTCTCCGGCTATACGACCCTTCGCCTGGATACCTCACTCTGCCTGATGAAACGAAATCACACGCGCTGCAAATCAGAAGATAAAAATAAATACGAAGATCCAAGCTCCTAATTACTCATATGCGTACTTGTTCACGAGCTTCACTTCCGTAGAGCAAACGCGCGCAGTGCATACGCTGACAGCTGGGAATCTCGTCTTGTCTCGTCACCCATCAAGAAAACAAATCAGCCCCTCTATGGTGCTTTGCGCCATTCCTTGAAGCAACAAGAATCACAGCTGGGCCAGCATGAGAAGGACAGCGAGGAACTAGGGAAAATATATCTCATCTTGACGGAGGTTCGGAAAAATCTTTTCATGTTCGCCACACAAGCACAGGGTTCTCCGTCCCTAGTCCCGCTAAGCTGACAACAAAAATGTTATTCGTGGATCACATACACAAGCAGCTACTAACGAGAACAGCGGTGCTCCACTCGTTGCTGGCAATCCTCCTCAACACCACTAATCCCTCAGAATCTGCCGGCAGAGCTCAAAACCTAAGTTTTGTGGCTTCGCAACCTTTTCTTCCAGGTGTCGGTGTGCTGGCTGCTTCGCAACCTTTTCTTCCAGTATTGCAACTACTTGGAGTGGAGCAATCACGTAAGTTCCGCCGCGGATGCAAGACGACTTTTGAGGCGCCTAAAAAATGATGCCGCAACGGTAGAATGGCAATCACTTGGAGTAATGCAATCGCGTAAGCTCCGCCGCAGATGCAAGACGATTCGATTTTCAAGTTCATCTAACGGTTTAAACCAAAGGCGATTCGAGTAGTATTCACGGACGGAGACGACGCCACCATGATTTTAGGATTCTTACTACCCATCTCACGAGGCGACTCGAGTTGAACTAGTGGTTCTAGCAGCACAGTAATTTCGCTTCTGGCACAGCATAAAAGGGTTTGACCGCACCCTTGTCGGCCTGTGACCACTCTTTACTCGATAAGACTACTTCCAACCTGCCTCAGACACGGCAATAGTAAGAAGCGGCTTAAGTCACCCGTTGCAGTATCCCCTGGTCAGACTACGGTAGTCTGATAAAGCAAGACCACCGCAGCACCGAACAAAAGAGCTTTTACTCATGGAGCGATCACCAGGAGACCATAGTTACGTGCAGGCGCGGTATTCCCAAGGTTATCAAGAGCAGCCACACCCGCAAGGGTCGTACCACCAACAGTACGGTCAGAACTACTCACAGCATTTACAACCTCCTGCAGCAGCAGCAGCAGCAGCAGGATCAGAATCAGAATCCATGGAAAAACCCACATCAGGCTCAGGAGCAGCAGCAGCCGCAGCGGCAACCACGATACGAGCAGCAAGCTCAGTACTCATACGCACAGCATCAACAGACACATGACTCAGCGTACCAGCATCCGCAGCAGGATTATCAGTATCAGCATCAGCAGCAGCAGGGTCAGCAGCATCATTATGAGGGGCACAATTACCAGCAGCAGCACCATGCACCCCTGAATCATACCCATGACACGCGTCAGCACGTCAGCCATCCAAACAGTTACCATCAGTACCAGACCCAGTATCATTATCAGCAGCAGCACCCTCACCCAAACCAAAACCAGCATTGGAATCCAAACCAGCACTGGAATCCGAACCAGCATTGGAACCCGAACCAGCGCTGGAATCCGAACCAGAGTTACCATCTGCAGCAGACACACCCCTCCACTCACCCTCCACCTCCTTGGATTCCCACTACTGCCAGTTCAGCAGAGGTACCCTCCGTCAACCCCTCTTCTTCAACCTCCACTCACCCTCCACCTCCTTGGGTTTCATCTGCGTGTCACCTCTCTGCTCCTGCCTCTGCCGCAGCAGCACTGTCCCATCCACCACTCCCGCCAACACTACCACCTGAACCAGCTGCAGTGGCAGCAGCGACCGCGCCACCACCAGCAGAACACAGCCAGCGTGTTTCCGTTGTGAGTTCAGTTCTCTTACCATATTTGCTAAATGCAAAAGGCCCATGAAACTGACGATGGCTCACCATATAGAGGCCTTCTATTGAGAACTCTTTATTTGCCATGCACGCACCATTCACTTCTCCACCTCCCAAACCTGTCAACCTCCCTTGTCGCCTCTCTCTCCCCTTCTCACTTCCGCCTCCCCTTCTCACTTCCCGCTCTCCCTCTCACTTCCATCACCCTCCTCTCCTCAGTCTCTACCGTCTCTCCACCCACCACGTATAAGCCTGCATCTCAGCTTTGCTCAAAGCACCACCACCTCACAGCATCTACCCGTCTGCCGTCCCCTTTCCAGCTCACCACGCATTCTCCTCTCTCTGCTCTGCCGTGTTTTGAGTCGACTCAAAACTCGAAGCACCACCACCTCACAGCATCTACCCTCCTGCTCACCTCGCATTCTCCTCTCTCTGCTCTGCCGTGTTTTGAGTCGACTCAAAACTCGAAGCACCACCACCTCACAGCATCTACCCTCCTGCTCACCTCGCATTCTCCTCTCTCTGCTCTGCCGTGTTTTGAGTCGACTCAAAACTCGAAGCACCACCACCTCACAGCATCTACCCTCCTGCTCACCTCGCATTCTCCTCTCTCTGCTCTGCCGTGTTTTGAGTCGACTCAAAACTCGAAGCACCACCACCTCACAGCATCTACCCTCCTGCTCACCTCGCATTCTCCTCTCTCTGCTCTGCCGTGTTTTGAGTCGACTCAAAACTCCAAGCACCACCACCTCACAGCATCTACCCTCCTGCTCACCTCGCATTCTCCTCTCTCTGCTCTGCAGTGTTTTGAGTCGACCCAAAACTCCAAGCACCACCACCTCACAGCATCTACCCTCCTGCTCACCTCGCATTCTCCTCTCTCTGCTCTGCCGTGTTTTGAGTCGACTCAAAACTCGAAGCACCACCACCTCACAGCATCTACCCTCCTGCTCACCTCGCATTCTCCTCTCTCTGCTCTGCCGTGTTTTGAGTCGACTCAAAACTCGAAGCACCACCACCTCACAGCATCTACCCTCCTGCTCACCTCGCATTCTCCTCTCTCTGCTCTGCCGTGTTTTGAGTCGACTCAAAACTCGAAGCACCACCACCTCACAGCATCTACCCTCCTGCTCACCTCGCATTCTCCTCTCTCTGCTCTGCCGTGTTTTGAGTCGACTCAAAACTCCAAGCACCACCACCTCACAGCATCTACCCTCCTGCTCACCTCGCATTCTCCTCTCTCTGCTCTGCCGTGTTTTGAGTCGACCCAAAACTCCAAGCACCACCACCTCACAGCATCTACCCTCCTGCTCACCTCGCATTCTCCTCTCTCTGCTCTGCCGTGTTTTGAGTCGACTCAAAACTCGAAGCACCACCACCTCACAGCATCTACCCTCCTGCTCACCTCGCATTCTCCTCTCTCTGCTCTGCCGTGTTTTGAGTCGACTCAAAACTCGAAGCACCACCACCTCACTGCCTCTACCTCCCTGCTCACCACGCATTCTCCTCTCTCTGCTCTGTTGCGCTGCCTGTGCTCCACTCCACCCCTCTCCCCCTTTCTGTGATGCTCCCCCTTGTGCGCCCCCGCTTCTGTTCCCCTGCCCCTTGTGCACCCCCCCCTTTCTGCTCCTCTCCCCCTTGTGCGCCCTCCCCTTTTCTGTCCGTATGCTCCCCCTTTTTTGTCTGTATCCGCCCCTCTCCCCGCCCGCTGCACAGGCAGCCTTCTAAGCAGCTTGCCACCTGCTCTTATGTTGCTCCTCCACGTGGCGAGCAGCGCACTCATGCTGGTGACGTGGCATATGACCCATTCAAGCCCGCTGACGTGGAATATGACCCGTTCCGGCCTGCTGACGTGGCCCGTGATGTGTCCCTGCCACGTGTGCTGCATGAGTGCAGTGAGGGTAATGAAAAGGAGGATGTCGAGGGAGTGAGGGAGATGGGAGGAGGAGGAGGAGGAGGAGGAGGAGGAGGAGGAGGAGGAGGAGGAGGAGGAGGAGGAGGAGGAGGAGGAGGAGGAGGAGGAGGAGGAGGAGGAGGAGGTATAGGGGAGGCAGGCAGGGAGCATGAGATAGGTGGTGAGGTTAGGGAAAGGAGAGAGAGTGTCAAAAGGAAGTTTGGATCAGGAGAGACAAACGAGAGGCAGGAGAAGGAGAGGGAGAGGAGTGTGGAAGGGGAAAGGAGAGTTGATGATGGGGCCACGCCTCCACTTCCTTCGGCTCCTCTTCTTCCTCCTCCTGCCGCTGCCTCACACCCGCCTCCCCGCCCTCGCCCAGTGTTCGTATGGGACTTGGACGAAACCCTAATCATCTTCCAATCGCTGCTCTCGGGAAAATTCGCCAAGACACTTTTGGCTGATAGGGAAGCAGGGGGGGGCAGTGGTGCAGGGGGCAGCAGCGAAGCGAGAGGGGTGGAGGAGCGGGCAAGGGAGTTGGGCGAGGCGTGGGAGAGGTTGATACTTGACGTGTGCGATGACCACTTGTTCTTCAAAGAGGTGAGCTGGTGGGTGTGTGTGCGTTGTGTGTGTGGAGGAAGAGACACAGAGTGCCAGAGGGGTGGTAGGAGAGGGCACAGAGTGACAGAGGCGAGGAGGAGCGGGCAAGGGAGCTGGGCGAGGCGTGGAAGAGGTTGATCCTTGACGTCTGTGACGACCACTTCTTCTTCCGAGAGGTGTGTGCGGTTGTGTGTGTGCGGAGGGGAAGACACAGAATGGCAGGGGGGTGGAGGAGCGGGCAAGGGAGCTGGGCGAGGCGTGGGAGAGGTTGATCCTTGACGTCTGTGACGACGGGTGGGTGTGTGTGTGCGCTGGTGGGAGCGTGTGTGTGCGTGTGTGTGTGGGGCAGGGCTGGGCAGAGGGGTGGAGGAACGGGCACGGGGACACAGGAGAGGCTCATTCTTGACGTGTGTACAGGAGCTGGGTTGGGTGGGTGGGTGTGGTGTGGTGGGGTGCGTTCGTGCGTCTGAATGTGTGCATGCATGTGCGTGTGCGTGTACATGCATGCGTGCATGTGTGTGAGCGCGCATGTGTGCGTGCATGTGCATGTGCATGTGCACGTGTATGTGTATGTGTGGGTGCATGCATACATCTGTGACTTGCCTTGCCTTTCCTGAGTAAATATCTGTGTGGGTGCATGCATACATCTGTGACTTGCCTTGCCTTTCCTGAGTAAATATCACATGTCACCTCGTTTCAGAATGCACCCCATCCAAAGTATTTTCTGTTGACCCTCTCTCATCCCATATTGTTCTCACTGTGTATCACAACCCATTCCTTGCCACCCCTTAGAACCATGCTGTGGCAGTTCACATCAGCCTTTCCCCTTTTCTCCCATATCTCTCCTGTTATTGGCTCTGTCTTGCCACGTCAGCTTGAGGACGTGGACCTCCCAAACTTGCGCCACGTGGAAGCTGGTAGCAAGCCTGCTGACGTGGCAGCGCCGAGCCACTGCGATGGCTCCATAGCAGGCCAGAAAAAACCAGCAATTTCTGCTAGTTCTGACGTGGCTGCTGATGTGGCGGGTCGCCAGGAAAGCTGGATGGTCGCAGAGCGGTTTCAGCAGATAGAATCGGCATACAGGAAGGTAAATTTAGGTTCTTCTGAGACGTATCAGGTGGTTGAAGCAGACTAGAGTTGAGTCCTCTCGATAGTGGCACTATCTGCATTAGTGGTTTTTTAAAGATGTCTTGTGAATTCACTCCTTGAATTACTTTCCCCATCCCTCTGAGGAATTCGCGTTTTGAGACTTCTTGAGTGTTTCCATGCTAGAGTTTCTCTGAAAAACTTGCCTCACGGCTGGCTACCCCTTTGATCTTCCTCCTCTGCCTTTATGAAATCCGTGGTACAAGAAGTCTCATCTCAGGATACCTACCTACCCCTCCTTCCCCCTGGTCCGCAGGGAATCTCGTCTCTCCTCACACCCGCCCAAGAGGCACGCCGGCAGCAGGTGTATGCACAAACAGACAAATTCACCAATGGATGGTTGAGAGCAGGTAGGTGGGTGCAGGTGGAGGGGGCAGGTGCGTTCTATTCTAGGTCGACTCAGAAGGTGTGTTTTGAGCAGAGCAGGTGGGGGGATGGGAGAAGAGCAGGCGGGGGGATGGAAGCAGAGCAGGTGGGGGGATGGGAGCAGAGCAGGTGGGGGGATGGGAGCAGAGCAGGTGGGGGGATGGGAGCAGAGCAGGTGGGGGGATGGGAGCAGATGGGTGTCAGACTCCTTCCTCTGCGGACCCTATATTCTGATGCACTAGTCATGGTTGCTGCCTTGGTGCTTACTCAGCTGTTTTTCTCACACCCCAATCTCGTCTCATCCCATTCATCCCATCCCATCCTATCCCATTCCACCGTATCACATCTTGCGACACCACTCTAAGGTCGGGCCATGCTTGCTGCAGCAGCAGCATTATGTGCTCATACAGACCCAACTGCAGCAGCGGCTACGGTGGCACCAATTGCATCACCAGCAGCAGCAGAAGCCGAAGAAACGAGAGCAGCCAAGACTGGATCAGCAGAGCGTGGTGCAAGGGCTGTAGCAGCAGAGGGTGATGCACAGACTGCAGCAGCAGAGAGTGGTACAGGGGCAGTCAATGTGGTTGTTTCTTCGGGGCAGCTCATTCCAACCCTTGCCAAATGCTTGCTGTTCGGCCTCGATTCCTTCATCTGCCCGACCAACAGTAAGTCAATCCTTTCACCTGCCCGAGCAACAGTAAGTCATCCTTTTATCTGTACCACCAGGAGATGTCTGCTGTTGGAACATGCACTTCTGTGTTTTTCATAATGCATAGTGCAATTGTGCTGGGGGCACTTGCTCATGTGCTTTTTGAGGGGCACTCAGTAATATGCTGAGTTTGAAGGCTCACATGCTCTTGTGCTAATTCATGCCTCGGGATGTTATAATCCCTACAGCATCGTTTGCACTGTTGCCAAGCCTTTGTAAGAGCTTGCATCACAGTGCACTGTAAACGATATTGACCATCCCCTCCCCCCTTCCCCTCCCCCCCCCCCCTCCCCTCCCCTCCCTCCCACCCTTCCTCCCCACCCCCCTCCCGACACATTTCCTCCTCTCGGTTTACCTGTGTATTGTGCCCTGCCCCGTGCAGTGACCAGTCTACAGCTCTCGCAAGGAAGGCAAGCTCGTGTGCTTCAAGCACATTCGACACCGCTACACACATCGCCTCTTCTAAAGTTTCCCTTCTATTCTCGCCTTGCCCCGTGCAGTCTACAGCTCTCGAAAGGAAGGCAAGCTCGTGTGCTTCAAGCTCATTCGACACCGCTACAGCGGTGAGCACCGGTTTGTAACGGTGGGGGATGGGTGTGAGGAGGCAGCAGCAGCAAGAATGATGGGGTGGCCGTATGTGAGAGTGGATGCAGCATGGGATGACATGCGCCTGACAAGCATGTCGCTAGCGCAGATTCTGCAGGCTAGCATGGGGTGACATGACACTATAGCAGGCATGCAGGCAGTAGGTTTAGAGTTTTCAGCAGCAGCACCAGCAGCAGCAGCTTCAGCAACAGCAGCAAGAATCATGGGGATGACCATATGTGAGAGTGGATGCGGCATGGGATGATATGCGCCTGACAAGCATGTCGCTAGCGCAGATACTGCAGGCACGCATGGGGTGACATGACATGACACTATAGCATGCATACAGGCAGTAGGCGTAGATTTTTCAGCAGCAGCAGCACCAAGAATAATGGGGTGGTCGTATGTGAGAGTGGATGCAGCATGGGATGACATGCGCCTGACAAGCATGCCTTTAGTGCAGATTCTGCAGGCACATGTGGGACGACACATTAGCAGGCACGCGTGGGATGACACATGAGCAGGCACACCGGCACCAGTTGTAGAACTTTCAGCAACAGCAGCTGTTGCGTTCAGTACCGTAGCATCTGTGGATGTAGCCAGGGCAGAGCACTTGGGGGGATGAGTGGAGTTGGACAAAATTGTTCACTCACTTTTGGAGTCTCACTGCTATGATCAGTGGGATATGCACGTCCCCAGCCATTCACTCCCCTGTGGATTTATCCGGGTAGGATCGCCTTTGCAGTACATCCCAAATTCTGTTGGCGTGGAAAATCTGGTGCTGGTGAATCTGATTCTCCTGTCGTGTAATGACTACCTTGAACCTTAACAGAACCCTAGACCTGCGAAACACTTTGTCAGAATGTGATGTTTGTCTAGCCTGCAGTGGGGTACTCTATAGCGAGTATAGCCCAAATTAGGGTTTGCTATATGTACTCAATTGCCTGCTAGTGGAAATCATCTTTCCTGTTTCTTGTTTCTTCCTATAGTTTCTGACATGCTATCAGAGCGGTTACGCTCTTGGCCTGTGGGCCCACCGTTAGCTTCCGCTGCTGTCCTGTCTGTCGCGCGCCCCGTGGCGCGCGACGTTTTTTCTTCCCGCCACGCGCTCGGGGCGCATGGCGGTTTTCTGCTCGCCGCGCGCACGGAGCGCGCGGCGGTTTTCTGCCCGCCGTGCGCCCCGAGGCGCGCGGCGGTTTCCCACCGTCGAAGCGCCCCCGGGGACCCGCGCGTCGCCCCCCGTCGCCCGTCGAAGCGCCCCTGGAACCCGCGCGCGGCCCGTACGACATGCGCCAGGCCCGCGCGCGGCCCGTACGGCCTGCGCCAGGCCCGCGCGCGGCCCGTACGACCTGCGCCAGGCCCGCGCGCGACCCATACAGCCCGCGCGCGGCCCGTACGGCCTGCGCCAGGCCCATGCACGGCCCGTACAGCCTGCGCCAGGCCCGCGCGCACCTGCCCTGCCGTGCGCGCACCCGCTCCCGTGCTGCCTGTGTTAGGGTTTGGGGGTGGAGAGTATGGGGGTGACGGGTGTGTGCGCCGTCCCCTGCTCCTCCTCCTCCTCCGTCTCCCACTGCTGCAGCTGCCGCTGAGGGGGGTGGATGTGTTGGAGCCGTCGGTGTCAGAATGTGTAGTTTGTCTAGCCTGCAGTGGGGTACTCTATAGTGAGTACGGCCCCTTAGGGTTTCCTATGTGTATCCACCTGCTTGCTAGTTCAACCTTCTTCTTCTTGCAACAATTTCCTCGACTCCCCTTTGGCCTAGGCTACTAAGCCTAGGCCCTACTCCTATTCAACATGGTATTCAGAGCAGGCACCTTCCTGCTGCCTTCCTTAACGGGCCCACCAGTCTGCTTCCGCTGCCTGTCGTCCCGAGGCGCGCGGCGCATTTTCCTCGCCGTGCGCCCCGGACGCGCGGCGATTTTCTGCCCGCCGTGTGCTCGGAGCGCACGGCGGTTTTCTGCCTGCCGTGCACCCCGGGCGCGCGGCGTCTGTCAGAGGTCCACTGGTGATCCCCGATTGATCCTAGGGAAGGGTTACAGGCATGGCGGCCTGGGGGGTTATGGACGCACTCACCCGCTACACAAACAAGCCCTTTTATCCCTGTGGTTAGTGGCTGGGATTCTAACATGGTATCAGAGCGAAGGTCTCGGGTTCGAATCCCGGTGTGTGCACCTCGGGCATCCCAGTGCGGGGGGGTGTCAGAGGTCCACTGGTGATCCCCGATTGATCCTAGGGAAGGGTTACAGGCATGGCGGCCTGGGGGGTTATGGGCGCACTCACCCGCCACACAAACAAGCCCTTCTATCCCAGTGGTTAGTGGCTGGGATTCTGACAGCGTCTTCCTCCCCCGCGCGCGGCCTGCCCTCACGCCGCCTGCGCGCCTGCCCCACGTCCGCGCGCAGGCCTGTTCTGCCCGCCCGTACCCTGCCCGTCGCGGCGCCCTGCGAGGCGCCGCTCCTGCTCGTCGCGAAGCCCCTGCGGGACCCGTGCGTCGCCGCTCCTGCTCGTCGCGACGCCCCTGCGGGACCCGTGCGGCGTCGCCTTGCTCGTCGCGACGCCCCTGCGGGACCCGCACGGCGTCGCCCCTGCTCGTTGCGGCGCCCCTGGGGCTTCGCCCCTGCTCGTCGCGGCGCCCCCTGGGTGCCGTCCCTGCTCGTCGTGGCGCCCCCCCCCCCTGGCCGCCGCCTCTGCCTCACCTGCGCCCGCGCCTGCTTTGCAGCCGTGCGCGGGCCTGCCCTGCACCAGCGACGCCGCCCCTGGAGCAGCCGCCCCTGGACCCAGAGCAGCCGCCCCTGGCCCCTGGAGCAGCCGCCCCTGGACCCAGAGCAGCCGCCCCTGGCCCCTGGAGCAGCCGCCCCTGGACCCAGAGCAGCCGCCCCTGGAGCAGCCGCCCCTGGACCCAGAGCAGCCGCCCCTGGCCCCTGGAGCAGCCGCCCCTGGAGCAGCCGCCCCTGGACCTCTGCAGCCGCCGCCCCTGGTGCAGCCGCCCCTGGTGCAGCCGCCCCTGGACCCCGCGACGCCGCCCCTGGACCCGGTGCAGCCGCCTGTGTGCTGCCCGTTGCCGCCCGTTGCTGCCCGTGCCTGTACTGCCCGTTGCCGCCCGTTGCTGCCCGTGCCTGTGCTGTCCGTTGCCGCCCGTTGCTGCCCGTGCATGTGCTGCCCGTTGCCGCCCGTTGCTGCCCGTGCCTGTGCTGCCCGTTGCCGCCCGTTGCTGCCCGGGCCTGTGCTGCCCGTTACCGCCCGTTGCTGCCCGTGCCTGTGCTGCCCCTGCTCTTCCCCCCCCTTCTTCGTCTCCCTGCTGCGCGTGCAGCCGTGGAACGGAAGGTATGGGGGTGGTGGGTATGGGGGTGATGGGTGTGTGACCCGTCCCCGGCTCCCCCTCCTCTTCTGTCTCCCACTGCTACAGCTGCTGCTGAGGGGGGTGGATGTGTGGGAGCCTTCGGAGTGGTGCTTGGGGGGTGGAGTGTGAGTGGAGCCAGGGGTTCAGCAGGGGGTGTGTGAAAGGGGTGTGGGACAGTTGGGGGAGGTTGAGTGGAGGCAGCAGTCTTGTCGTCCGCAGCGCCTGTAGTCCGGGGCCCTTGCCGCTGGTAGCCCAGAGAGCCTGCTGCGCCTGTCGCCCGTGGGTCCGTTGCTCCTGCCGCTCGTCTTAGCCGCGGAGCCTGTTACTCCTGTAGTCCGGGGCCCTTGCCACCGGTAGCCACTGTGCGCGCCGCTCCTGTTGCCCGTGTGTCTGCAGCTTCAGCCGTCGCCTCCCATCTTCTCGCCCCTCACAGTTCCTCCTCCTCCTCACTTGCCCTCTGTGATAGCCTCTAGCTTTGCTTATATTTATGAACTATGAACTGTTGCTTGTTGTGCTGATCATACCCCACTTTGACTATGGGGGTGTGTCAGAATGTGTAGTTTGTCTAGCCTGCAGTGGGGTACTCTATAGTGAGTACGGCCCCTTAGGGTTTCCTATGTGTATCCACCTGCTTGCTAGTTCAACCTTCTTGCAACAATTTCCTCGACTCTCTTTGGCCTAGGCTACTAAGCCTAGGCCCTACTCCTTCTATTCAACAGTCGGAGTGGTACGAGGGGGGTGGCGTGTGAGCAGTGCTAGAGGTACAGCAGAGGGTGTGTGAAAGGGGTGTGGGACAGCTGGGGGAAGTTGAGTGGAGGCAGCCGTCTTGTCGTCCGCAGCGCCTGTAGTCCAGAGAGCCAGCTGCGCCTGTCGCCGTGTAGTTCAGGGCTCTGCGCCTGGTAGCGACAGTGCTGCGCACTCCTGGGAGCACAGAGAGCCAGCTGCGCCTGTCGCCGTGTAGTCCGGGGCTCTGCGCCTGGTAGCCACAGTGCTGCGCACTCCTGTTGCCTGTGTGTCTGCAGCTTCAGCCGTCGCCTCCCATCTTCTCGCCCCCCACAGTTTCTCCTCCTCCTCACTTGCCCTCTGTGATAGCTTCTAGCTTTGCTTATCATTGTGAGCTATTGCTTTGCCTGCTTATTGTGCTGATTATACCCCACTTTGACTATGGGGGTGTGTCAGAATGTGATGTTGGTCTAGCCTGCGGGTGCTCTATAGCGAGTATAGCCCAAATTAGGGTTTGCTATATGTACTCAACTGCCTGCTAGTGAAAATCCTCTTTCCTGTTTCTTGTTTCTTCCTATAGTTTTTGACACACTTATCATGCCAGGATCCACTGACAACACAAACAAGTTCTGCAACTCAAACTGCGGTGTAGAACACATGGCACTCCAAACAGATTTTTCATAACCAACGAATTCATAACAAACCGTAGACTATTGTTTGCTCCTAACCTAACTCAAGCATCTTCAGCAATCACGACAACCTTCATGTCTGTGAGGCATTCGTTGCCATAGCTGCTGGTAGCCGCTTCCCCTCATCTCTGTGCCATGCTGCTCGCCCTTGAGGGAGTCCCCGACGCCCTGGACATACCGACTCCTCGCACTTAGGACGCGGCACATGTTTTCATTTTGCCATGATCGGGGCCTCACATTGATCCAGACACATCGATCGGCACACCGATATGCTCACACTGCAAATTTGCAGTAGGGTAGACACATCGAGCGATAGGTGCCAGGTTCAAAATTGCAGGTTCGACCAGGCTGGAGCTGCCTCGGAATACACCAACACACTTCAACGCGCAGCGAATCAAGGCAGAGCGTGGTTGGTCGCCCAGCAATTTCATTCGCAACGACTCGAGAATTTTTGGCCTGCGACCGTGGGCGACGCCGATCGATCGCGGCTGTCACCTGTGGCTCGATGTGCTCTCCCCCCAACCCAAGGGCACGATCGATGTGTGCACCGCGACACATCAATCGTGCGAGCTGCAGGTGCCACCATTTTGGTTACCCGTGTATTGTACATTTCCGACGTCATGCGAAAAGCGGATACCAGGCATTGGCGACGTTGCCAATGCACTGTACAAGCGGCATATCGATTCCCTCCTACGATCGATCATGGCAAAATGAAAACAGGTGCCGCGTCCTTACGCTGAGGCAGTGTCAAGGTGTTGGGCCTCTCAGTGGAGAGTTGCCATGGACGCAGAGATGGCCTCCTACAGATCCACAGGCACCTATGTCGGCGAGGTTTCCCCCCCGGGGGCGAACGTAGTCGATGTCATTTGGATCTTCAGGGTGAAGCGGCCACCGGGATCTCCTCCGGTCTTCAAGGCGCGCTATGTGGCTAGAGGTTTCAGGTAGCACGAGGGAGTTGACTTCTTTCAGACCTTCTCCCCCACTCCGAAGATGACCACTCTTCGGGTGTTACTGCACGTAGCAGCATAGAGAGACTACGAGCTACACTCTCTCGACTTCTCCACTGCCTTCCTACACGATGAGGTCTGGTTACGTCGTCCCTCGGCCTTCACTGGCACTTTCCCTCCTAGGACCCAGTGGAGGCTGAGGCGACCAGTCTACGGTCTCCGTCAGGCTCCTCGTGAGTGGCACGACACCCTTCGTTCTACCCTGTCTGACCTCGGTTTCCAACCGTCTTCTGCCCACCTGTCGTTGTTTATTCGTCGTGGCTCCACACCGTTCTTTGTACTGGTTTACGTCGACGACCTGGTTTTCGCAAGTGCTGACAGGGTTGCTTTGGCTGACGTGAAGTCCGAACTGCAGAAGAGACACACGTGCACTGACCTTGGTGAGCTGCGCCACTACCTTGGCCTGCAAATCACCAAAGACAGAGCCGCTCGCACCATCACTCTGACTTAGTCACACATGGTGCAGCAGGTCCTTCAGCGGTTCGAGCTTCAGCACTCCACAGTATAGCGCACACCTCTTGCTGTTGACCACAGACTCACTGGACCCTTTCCTGACGAGCCGTTTGAGCCTAGTGGTCCTTACGCGGAGCTTCTGGGCAAACCCATATACCTGATGACTTGTAATCGCCCGGACCTCGCCTTCCCTTTCAACATCCTTGCTCGCTTTGTTGTGCGAAGGAGACACCGTCCTGTTCACTGGACAGCAGCTGTGAGGGTGGCGAAGTACCTAGCGACGACATCAGGCGTGGGGCTGGTTCTTGGAGGGAGACAGTCTGTCGTACTTACTGGTCACTGTGACTCTTCTTACGCTGACGACGCTGAGACTCATTGGTCTACTCAGGGAACTGTTTCAGCCTTGGTTCTTGAGCTGTTTCGTGGAGGTCCACGCGTTCCTCCTTGGTCTCGACCTCTACCGCTGAGGCTGAGATCTACGCTGGGGCCATGGCTGCACAGGAGCTGCGTTGGTTGACCTTCTTGTGCACTGACCTTGGTGAGCGGTCAAGCTCTGCACCGACCTTATTTATTGACAACAAGGCGTCGATTCTCCTCTGTCGAGAGCCGCGACTGGAAAGCAGAGTAAAACACATTAACGTCATGGACTTTCTTCTTCGAGAGTTGCAGAGGCGTGGACAAGCTCGCTTTGAGTTTGTTGAGTCCGAGGCCAGCACTACATACATCTTCACCATGCCCTTCCGCTTTGTGACCACCAGGAGTGTTGTGTGCAGATAGATCTCGTTGACACAGGTTCTCGTCTTGCGTAGACTTGGGTTCTCTATTTAATTTGTTTGTACATTTTGCTTATACCTCTGTGAACTCTTGAACTGGCCTTGTGGCCCTTTTGCTTGTGCTCAGACTGTGTGGTGACATTGTGATCCACCCTGAGCTTTGTTTCTTGTGACTGGTCTTGTGACCGTACGGTTTTGGTTTTGCTTGACACCCCTCACTTAGGCTATGGGGGTGTGTCAAATGTTGTAGCTCTTAGTGATGAAAGTCATATGGGGTACAGAAGTTAGGGTTAGGTTTATGTACCACAACCAACCTTAGTCAATGCATCATTCAGTAAGCGGCGACAACACTAGGAAGAAGTTTTGCTACAAAAGGGGGGGGGGGAGAAATATTATTTTTTTCGCATTGTACTTGGCAGTCCTGACAGTCTCGTCAGACTAGTGCAGCACGATGAACGCTCGGGATTCCATCCAACGATATCGACGGTTTCCGCTCATCGACCTCTGACATCTCGAAAGGTCCCGCCAAATATTGCGTTCATCTCTGCCGTCCGAATCGCATCCGCTACATCTACGGCTTTCATTCATCGGCAGATTTCATCTCGACATTCAATCACAATCGTCCAATCAGTACCAACGGCTGACATTCCAACTCTTTGAATTTCGTCTGGTCAACGCGCTCAGCAATGCGTCAGTTCGACGGTCAACGCGCCCAGCAATGCGTCAGTTCGACGGTCAACGCCTTCTACGCCGTCAGATCAGTTTCAACCGAAGATATGCAATTTTTAAGCAACTGCAAGACTCGACTACGTATAAAGACACCTTATTTAGAAGGTGGGAGAGTGTAATGAATATGAATTCATTACTATAGAGGCTGCTCCTAGCGGAACAACCCGAACAGTTCGCGTCAGTTTGGGTTCGGCCTGTTGGGCTGAGAAAAGCCCTTAGGATCGTTCTAGGCATAGACTCGGGATTATAATGTAGTTGCGGAAGCGTTCTTACTGAACTTGTTGAACCACCTTGTGCTGGTATGTGAGGACAAGATAAGTTGATTAAGGCAAAGAGATACAAGCCTTTTATATGATTACAGGAGAATATGAAAGGTTTAACTAACTGCTTATTTGTAACTGCAATTGTAACTGCTGCTGTTGCGGTTCGATACAGCGACGACTCGGGCAACTGCTCAATAGCGAGTCAGTTGTGTCCCCTTGCTGTCGCGCTGCCTTCGGCAAGTCAAAGGTTGCTGACCTTTGACCTTCGTGTAACTTCTCGTGTTGTCTCGTGTCAACCTCTCGATGTTGACTCACTTTGTTGCTTCACTGTAGTTCGCTTCGCTTACGGCTCAGTGTTTCGATACTTCAGAAGCGCAAACTACATGTTTCCAACACGGCCTACATTTCGGCCCGAACCACATTCCGAGTCTCCCCGCACCAATCGTGACATTCCCAATCCTCGCACGTCACCAGGTTCTCGCCTAGCACGTATTTGCCCTGTATTTGATCGCTTTCTTCATTGTTTCTTTATTCTGTAATCACTTTCGTTTTATAGTATTCTTCCGTGCACTCTGATAGTACAACTCATAACAGATGTGACCCTTGTCTTACTTGCACACTTCGGAAGGAGGTGTTATGCTATATAAACAAAGTGAAATCAGAGAAAGCTAGCTTACATAACACTACCGTATGGCCCCGGATATAGGCGCCGTCCGATTAAAGGCGCCGGCGCTTCTATCTGGAGCATGGCGCTTATGGCCGTTCCTCAATTATAAGCGCACCCCCAAAAAGACCTATACTTTTTATAAGCGCACGTACAGTTTTTACTTGATTTTTTTTGTTTAAAACAGTAGCGAATTTCATTTTTGCAGTGAGATTGAAATCATTGTCGCTTTGTTTGACTCGCGAAGACCTGACTGGCTGCGCGTCCAGTCAGGATGTGCTGGCATGCTTGCAGAATGACGCGAATTTGCCCGTGTGCAGGAAGCAGAATCGCTTCCGAGCGATTCTGCTTTGTGACGCTATATTGTTTCGACTCGGTTTAAGTGGCAACAATGAAAGGTAGAATTTGGTACCATAAAGGTATAAAATTGTATTTGTCATTATATAAGCGCCGGCGCTTATGGCCGTTACTCAATTACAAGCGCCCCCCCCTAAAAAAAATGAATTTATTATAGGCGCATATGCGCTTATATCCGGGGTGATACGGTATTTCCAATATTGGAAATGTGAGCGAAGGCATGAGCACATTAGATAAAGAAGCAATGTTGAACAGTTCAAAACACAATAACCTCCCGCATGGCTATGTACTGTACGGTACCACCATATGTTTCCTATACACGAGTATATGCCCTTCCAACTCCCTATCAACGGGGAAGTGTGCATGCAAGAATCGCGCCACCTGCAAACCAAGGCAGTTGATACAGTTGGCAGTAAAAACCACAAGATAAATGTTAACCTACCCGCATTGATATAGACGTCAGCGCAACTCTTGAAAACGATAGACAGGGGGGATTTATTCCATTCATCGCTCTCATTGACGCACGGCAGGATTGATCCTGAGCTGGAATGGATCAGGGTACCAGGCTGTGTGTAATGCGATGAGGGGTACCTATCTCTGTGTCACACAGGCGCAGCAGCAGCAACATTGCACATGAAAGAAGCACATACCTCTATGTACCCAGCGCACTGAAGCAACGGCAGCAGCAGCGGCTCCTCTGTATCAAACGCCACCAGCAGCATCAGCGGCAGCAGCAGCAACACTGGCAGCAGTGCACATGGCAACACACATACCTCTGTGTACCCGGCACACTGGAGGAGCCGCAGCAGCAGCGGCTCCTCCGTGTCAAATGTCACCACCAGCTCTGGCAGCTCTGGCCGCCCTCCTCCATCCAGCCCATCACACCCTTTCAAAAAGCCCTCCTTCTTCATCTCCTCCATGGACATGCCGCCTTCATTTTTCCCCGGTTGACTGACTGCAGGTGCTGCTGTGTCCTGTGCTTCTCGCCCTCCATCCCTTGCACCAGCAGCAGCCTGGCATCTGCCCTCTTGTTGTCCATGCGATGCCGTCCTACTGCTGCTTCTGCACGTGGTGGGGCTGGCAGCAGGGGAATCGGCTGTAGCGTCGCAAGCAGGATGAGAATCGGCTGTAGCACTGTGAGCATCAGCTGCTGCTATAGCGCCCTGAATCAGGCCCACGATGCATGTACGGGCAGATGGAGGGACGGTGTAGCGGGATGCGAGGAAGGCATGTGGGTTGGCTAGCAAATCATCGAATTCGCTTTCACGAGACACAGTGATAGTGCCGTTAGGATGGGCTGGAGGGAGGGGATCGGGAGGGAGAGAAGGGAGGGAAGAGGCATGCAGAGTGGAAATATGTGCAGAGCAGTGTGGTGGGATGTGAGGAAGGCATGAGAGTCTCCTAGTAGATGATCAAACTCCCTTGTCACAAGACATGATGATGGTGTTGTTGGGATGGGCTGGAGAGGACCGGGCAGGGCAGACATGCAGTTCGGCAAGAGGAAGTGGCAGAGAGAGAGGAGACTTGGAAGAGGAATTGGGAAAGTTGGCCGAGTGTGGGAGGCCACAAGCCACTTGTGAGAAATGGCTTATATGTGATGATGGGTGTGCGACGAGATGGGTGTGTAGCAGCATAGTGAGGGCAGTAGAAGGGTTGGAAGTGTGGGAGTGATGGCAGCACGAGGGACTAAGAAGCAAGTTTGAGGCAAGAGACTAAGAGGATAGGCAAGGGACAATAGAATTGACGCTTACATGTGAGGATGGGTGCACATGATAGCATGGTGAGTGTGGCTGCGGGGTTGTGAAGGTGCGAGTGGAAGGGCGTGGAGTGACACGGCATTAGAAACAACACCTCCACCCTCCCCTCCCTCACTCCTCCCTGCCCCTCGATTCCTCCTCCCCTACCCTCAGATTTTCCTCCCCTCCCCTCGTCCCTCAATAGTGTTGAGCGGTTATGCAGGATGGTGTTGATTTTTCTTTCTAAGAAGGGCATGACAGCAACGGTGCCTCGTTGGTGGGTGGTGGAGAGGTAGAGAGCGGCGAGGAGCTGGGGGAGGAAGGCTGCTGCTAGGAGCAGGCGGAAACGGGGCGAGTGTGGGCGGAAGAAGGGGGAGAGAAAGGCGCTCCATGATTGGTCTGCTGGAGCGGAATGAGATGATGTGGGTCTTTGGGACGGGTTGGGTGATTGAGATGGTTCAGGCGGTTTAAAGGAGTATAATGCTTGATGGAGCTGAGACTTGCTTCTGCTGCTGCTGGTGCTGCTGCTGGTGGTGCTGGTGGTGCTGCTGGTGGTGTTGCTGCTGCTGATGTTGGTGCTGGTGGTGGTGCTGTTGCTGGTGTCGCAGTTGTTACAGGTGGTGGCGAGTCTTGAGTGTAAGAGAGCGAGGGCGAGACCAGCATATGTGTTGAGGAGAGGGAGAGAGAGTAGGATGAAGCTGCGAGGAAGGGAGATGTGGGAGAAGAGGCAAGTGGAGTGGAGAGGGAGGGGGGTGGTGTGGGTGGGAAAGGGGAAGACGAGTTGATTAGGAAGCGACCTTTGGATCAACTTGAACTTCTAGAGCGTTGCCCACGAAACGCCATCTGGATTTCTAGAGAGGCAGGCAGAGGGGCTTTTGAGAAATCTCAAGCGTTGATTTGTCTGCCTCTTGTAAAAAATGCTCCTCCTCACCTCACACACACTCACCCGTGCTCACTCCTCCTCTCACTCACTCACCGGTGCTCCTTGTGGTCAGAGAGGGAGTAGAAGAGAGGCAGCCAGAGGGCGAGCAGGAAGGGCAGGTGCACCGACCACCACACCAAACCCTCATGCACCCACTGCAGCACATGACACACACTCACCGGTGCTCCCCCTAACACTTCCGCTCACTGACGGACTCACCGGTGCTCCTTGTGGTCGGAGAGGGAGTAGAAGAGAGGCAGCGAGAGGGCGAGCAGTAAGTTGACTGATTCCAACTACCATTACACGTTGCCCCACTGCTCCTCCTCACCTTCTTCACACACACTCACCAGGTCGGCTCCTCACAATCACACACGCTCACCGGTGCTCCTTGTGGTCGGAGAGGGAGTAGAAGAGAGGCAGCCAGAGGGCCAGCACGAAGGGCAGGCGCACAGACCACCACACCAAACCCTGCTGCAGGCGCTCCAGCAGATGGTGACCATGCTGAAACCAGCTTGTGTGCTTATAACGAGGTGGGGTGTAGGAGGGGAAGGAGCACCAGAGGAGGCCGAGGCAGGCGAGGGGGAAAAAGGTGCCGTGCATGGCTATGAGACCCTGGCGGTGATGAGGGGGGTGGAAAAGGGTGTAGAAGGGTGTAGAGGGGTGGAGAGGGGTGGAGAGGGGTGTAGAGAGGTCCGAGTGAGAAAATTATGAGCAAGATGAAATGCATGTGAGGGGGGGGAGGTGGTTCTATGCATTGCGACGATGGGGGGATCAGGAGGATGAAGAGAAGAGAAAGGAGCGGATGAGGGGGGGTGTAGAATGGTGTAAATCGGTGCTATAAGGATCCAGAGGGAGAGCGAGGATGAACACACACAAGGGGGACGGATGAAGGTTTGTCGTGCATCGCATGGGTGTGAGGTGTGCTTGCATGGCATGGCTGTGAGAAAAGCAGATTTTTGAGACGTCTAAAAAAACTACTTTCCACACGTGCATGGCATGGCTGTGAGGAGTGCTTGGGGAGAAGGATGGGATGGACGGGGGCTAGGAGGGTTGCAGAGGTGTGCAGAGGGGCGCAGGGGTGCAACAGGATGCTATGCAAATTCCGAGGTTGAAAGCATGGAAGGGGAGGGGAGGAAAGAAGGTGTGTTGTGCTTTTTGAGAATTCTCAAAAAGCTATTAGACCAGTGCGGGGTCTGAACATGTGCCCGTTCCTTACCCACATGCATACACCCACACTCCTACCTGCGACCGGTACCAATACTGCCCATCCCAGATGCGCACCCACAACCCCACACTCCTACCTGCGACCAGTACCAGTGCCAGGGGTTGCTGCCGTAGAGACTGGACCCCTTGAGATGCACGTTGAAATGGAAGAGGCTGAGAGTGGTGAAGACCACTGAGTGGACACTCACACGCTTACCAATAAACACACAAACTATTCCACCAACTCCTACCTGCGACCAGTACCAGTGCCAGGGGTTGCTGCCGTAGAGACTGGACCCCTTGAGATGCACGTTGAAGTGCAGGAGGTTCAGAGGGGTGAACACCATTGGCCGGCCGTACTGCCAGCTGTCCACAGCCACTGTTATGGCAACAGCTGTCAGGCTGGCACCAGAAACCGGGAAGGGAGGGAGCACAGTGGAGTGATGACAGGGAGGGAGCACAGTGGAGTGATGACAGGGAGGGAGCACAGTGGAGTGATGACAGGGAGGGAGCACAGTGGAGTGATGACAGGGAGGGAGCACAGTGGAGTGATGACAGGGAGGGAGCACAGTGGAGTGATGACAGGGAGGGAGCACAGTGGAGTGATGACAGGGAGGGAGCACAGTGGAGTGATGACAGGGAGGGAGCACAGTGGAGTGATGACAGGGAGGGAGCACAGTGGAGTGATGACAGGGAGGGAGCACAGTGGAGTGATGACAGGGAGGGAGCACAGTGGAGTGATGACAGGGAGGGAGCACAGTGGAGTGATGACAGGGAGGGAGCACAGTGGAGTGATGACAGGGAGGGAGCACAGTGGAGTGATGACAGGGAGGGAGCACAGTGCGGCAGAAAATACTTTCGAGTCGGGTGGGGCGAACCACACACACACACACACACACACACACACACACACACACACACACACACACACACACACACATGACAAAAACGCCCAGCCAGAGGGGCACATTCACAGGGGCAAGGCTTACCAGGGCTCACCCGATAGGCAGCACTTCCAGCAACAGCGGCCGCACCCATTCCATTCCCATCGGCCCCTCACTCCCTTCAGCGCCCCCTCCACCAGCAGCAGCGAGAGCTCGTGCAGACCCAGGGGCAGCCAGAAGGGAGTGCTGGTGGGGCGAACCATGCACGCTGCTGCTGCCACGGCGAGGGCTAAGGGTCGATTGGCTCCAATAGAATGATTGGCTCCAGTAGGGTGATGAGTGACAGAGTCAGTTACAGAGGTTTGGTCTCCTCTATCCTGCTCAGTAGGTTTCCTTCCGCCCTCAGTAGCTTTCCTTCCGCCCTCAGTAGCTTTCCTTCCGCCCTGAGTGCACTCCTGCGTGCCCCCCCCGCTGCCCTCTATTCCGCCCTCATTTCCCCCCTGTGCGCCCTCATTTCCCCCCTGTGCGCCCTCATTTCCCCCTGTGCGCCCTCATTTCCCCCCTGTGCGCCCTCATTTCCCCCCTGTGCGCCCTCATTTCCCCCCTGTGCGCCCTCATTTCCCCCCTGTGCGCCCTCACTGCCCCCCCGTGCACCCTCGCTACGCCCTTTTACACCCGCAGTGCGCCCCTCAGCGCCCTCAGTGACCCTCTGGCGGTGGCGCCAGGGCCAGTAGGAGAGGGCGAGGACAGCGAGGGAGGCCTCGAGGGAGTTGGAGAAGGTGCGAGTGGCGCAGAAGAAGAGGAACCAGCAGGTGAGATTGCAGAGGAGCTGGTGGGGGGGGGGGAGAGCAGTGGAGAGGTGGGCAGGGGATGGGGACAGAGGCGTGCATGTGGGGAACAGTGAGCATCATTCGAAGGTGCGAGTGGCGCAGAAGAAGAGGAACCAGCAGGTGAGATTGCAGAGGAGCTGGTGGGGAGGGGTTGGGGAGGGGTAGGGAAGGGGCAAGAGGGGCCAAGAAAGAGGTAAACGTGGGAAAACGAAGCATTAGATGGAGAAGGTGCGTGTGGCACAGAAGAAGAGAAACCAGCAGGTCAGATTGCAGGCGAGCTGGGAGGAGGGAATAGCGGAGGGAGGAGAGGATGGGGAGAGAGAGAGCAGAGGAGCTGGGGTGCGTGTGTGGAACAGAGAGCATTGGAAGGAGAAGGTGCATTCAAAATAATTCCTTCCAAACAGTCTGATACTGTCGCAGATTGTGTGGGTCCCCCAGCTTAAACCCAAACTTACAATCCAAGTCAACAAGGACAAAGCGACTGTGAGGGAGTGTATAATGGCGCAGATCTGCCAGTGCTGCTATTGCGCCCTGCACGAGGAGTGGAGCTATGATGACACACCTCTTGGCCCTCAACTCACCGCCAATGCAGCAGCGGAGGGGTGCGAGGGGAAGAGCCTTTGAGTGAGCATATAGAGACGCAGATCCGCCAGTGCTGCCATGGCTGCCTGGATTGCACCAAGAGGAATGGCGTTACCATGAGACATCCCCCCCCCCCCCCCCCCACTCACCGCCCATGCAGCAGCAGAAGGGTGCGCGGGGAAGAGCCTTCGCGTGAGCGCATAGAGACGCAGATCTGCCAGTGCTGCCATGGCTGCCTGGATGAACCGCGGCGAGTGGCGCTGGAAGGGGGGAATGGGAGGAGGGGAAGGGAGGGGCGGAAAGGGAGAGGGAAAGGGGTCAGAGTGCAGAACAAGTGGATAGGGAGAAGGAGAGAACAACAAGGAGGCAAGAGCGAAGAGTGAATGCATGAGCTGCGAGAACGAGAGAAATACCAAGCTGGGAGAAACGAGAGAAAGAACAAGTAGGGAGAAACGAGAGAAGGAACAAGTAGGGAGAAAGAGATTTGGGAGAGCAAGAGCGAGCAGTTACAACAACCCAGGTCTGGAGTGGTGCACCAAAAATAGAGCCAGCAGGTGGGGAGAGAAAGAGTGAAGCGGAGAGCAGCATTGATCGTCCTGTTTTTTTTGTGCTTAGATGAAAATATGCAACGCCCATACGAGCCAAGGCGTGTCAGAGCGTAGCAGGGCAAGCAGGCGGTAACCAGCGGCGAAGCGAGAGGCTGAGTGCAGGGAATAGAAACTGTAGCAGCACTCACAACGAGCCAAGGTGTGTCGCAGCGTAAGAGGGCGAGCAGGTGGTAACCAGCGGCGAAGAGCAGCGGGTGGAGGAAGGAGCGAGCCGCCCACTCAGGCTGCCACTCCCATGTGAGATAACCGTAGCTTGGGATTGAAAGAGAGGGGCATGGGAGGGGAAACAGTGAAGAAAGTGGAGGTGAGATTTGAGTCGACTAAAAAATCGTTTCATTTGAAAGTCTACTTGAAGCTAGGCGGTCTTGGACGTTGATGCACCTCCTCCTCTCACAGGTGAGATTTGAGGCGCCTCAAAAGGTGGACTTGGAGGTTGGCACACCTCCTCCACTCCACCTCTTTTGAAGGACCTCAAAATTCCTCTCACGGGTGAGGGGAGTGCATGTTGACTCACGCACGTCGCCATTTGAGCTGCCATGCCAATGCCAGACCACCTTCCAACCAATCACAGCATCGACCCCGCATTGACCTAGTATCAAACTAGAACTGGACTGGAACCGACTCATTGCACACCACTCGTTGACCATGACGCATGTACCTGACCGGCCTGAGGCATTCCAGCTCACCCAAACACCACTCTGTGCGCCACTCTGTGCGCCACTCTGTGCGCCACCTCCCTGCCAAAACTCGCTGGTTCAGAACCATTAAAGCCATTAAACCAGGGAACCGCCTTCCCTCATCTCAAATACAACATTGACCCATCCAACACTGCCTCCATGTTCACCCATAACATCCACACGAGGTGACTTTTGAGTCGACTCGGAAGTCATTGCCTCCATGTTCACCCATAACATCCACATGCAATTCCTTGATTAAACCATTTCAGCGCACTCGAATCCCTATCCCCATATGGTATACCACCTCTGGCCATTGCCAAAAGCATTTCAATCAGGCCGTAAACATTAACCCTAATCACCCATACAACCCACTCATCCATACCCCACTCACTCACCCGAAGACCATCCGGTGAGCCACCTCCGGTCCCTGCCAGAACTCGTCCGGGTTGAAAGCAATAACCCAAGGGAGTCACAGCATTCACCCATGCCACACCAGCCACCCTGATGCACCTACTCGAGAAACTGCAACTCACCCGAAGACCATCCGGTGAGCCACCTCCGGTCCCTGCCAGAACTCGTCCGGGTTGAAATAGGTCTGCACTGCCAGACTGTTGAGCAGCCTGAGGAAGGTAAGGAGGGGAGAAACGGGCGAGGGAGAGGGAGAGGGAGAGGGAGAGGGAGAGGGAGAGGGAGAGGGAGAGGGAGAGAGGGAGAGGGGAGGGGGAGGGAGAGGGAGAGGGGGAGAGAAAAAGGTGAGAACTGCTCAGGCCGCTTTAGGGCTTCTATGTGGCGGCATCCCGAAAACCACGAGGAAACTGCTTCGCGGCAGTTGCAGATTCTGCTGACCTGAACGCGAGCAGCGCGAGGAAGAGGTCTTTCGGGGGCCGAACGGTCGGCACGGTGGATTGGTGCTTCAAACCCATTGCCGCTGCTGACGACGGCGATGACTTTTGAGTCGACTCAAAAGCCTCCTCAGCCGCCACTGTGGACTGCCGCTGCTTCGAACCCATGATCGCGGAGGACGGCGCTAGCCCGACGAACTTTTCGGCTACAGCGGAAGGCTTAGTACTACGTGGTATGGAATCAAGCCAGCTTGGCTTGTCGCGAGGGCGACGCTAGGCATGATGTGCGACAGCGCGGCGCGCGAGATGCGCATTTCAGGAGGAATCGCGTGGCCCGCGAGTTTCGGCTATTCGGAAACTCATCTGACGCCACGGACAGAAAGAAATTGCTTACTAAAACAGAAAATGGAATCTGGATTCTGGCTGGGACACTGACAGGCTCGCAGCTTTGAATGGCTTCCTTGGCGATGGAGCGACGAGAGAGCGTTCTTTCGGAAACGGTGGGTTTGCGATGTGATGTTCAGTTCGCCAGAATTCGCCTGCGGCTTGCAGGTTTCAGGTTACTGTATTTCAGGCTTCCGATCCGCACCTTCCAACCTCGCTGCAGCCCTAGAAACCGTTCCTGATTCCGATTTCCCAACTTTCACCGCTCCCTATATTTGTGATCTCCCCCGTTCCCTAGGTTCCCTCGAGAAGTTCGAACCAGCATTTCGGAACTCCCAACACAGCACGCCCTAGAACAGTGGACAGATCGAGGTAACCGTTGCCGAGTCAGTCCAGCCACGTGCGTTATTGAATGATCGCGATCAGACTGCGGTGCGGTGCCGCGTCTCCGTGTAACTCGCTCGAATCTAGCCGAATTCCCTGATCCCTGTTCGACTGCATCATTCGCGGCGATCGCTTCGCGTCTCTCCTCATGAGGCGACGCCAGTCCATCTCCCTCCTCTCCGCGCATCTCCACCGTCTACAGCAGCAGAACGGCCACGTGACGTCATCCAGTGCCTCGATCACCCTCGCGTCGTCATCGCAGCCTTTCTTACAGCCGTCATCAGTCGCGTCTCCTCCAGGTCACGCAGCTGCCTCACCGTTCTTCGCGAACTTCGCTAGTAACCAGACTTTACCATTCACGTCGTTGAATGTCGCACTAGAGCTTCCTTCGTCGCATTCGCCAGTGCCAAGGCACAGATCCATCTTGCCACCCCCATTCGCACTCACCAGGACTCGCAGAAGTCTCCATTCATCCGCCGTACCATGGTCGCACGGAGCGTGTTCCCGATCGACGGCTGTCAGCGCCTCCCCAGTTGACGGACGGTCGGATGAGGCTCTCAATCCTGGCAGGGTGGGTCGGTGGCTGCGAGGTCCAGCAAAAGTGGGAGCTGAACTGCTGTTGAGGCCGAATCAGCCGTTCCTGCTGTCTGCGAGTTTCTCTACCGATGGTGGGTTATGCAGTCTTCTATCTCGGGTCGAGCTGACTCACAATTCACCGCTTGTCACTCATGATGCATTTTCCCCTTTTCAACCCTCCATGCCATCGCTTTCTTCGTGATTCCTCCCCTCCTTCCCTCCTCCTCGTCTCCTCGTTTGTCGTTTTCAGCGTCCTCTTCCGCACCACCACCGTCTGTAATGCCGGCCGAGTTAGCAGCGGTGGTGGAAAGAAGCCTCTCTGCCGTCTTGGCCCGCCATCAGCAGCTGGAGGAGCTGCTCTCCCAGGTCAGACCTGTCGTTCTCGTGCTATCCTCGCGTGTGTTGTTTCCAGCGTCCTCAGCACCACCACACCACCACCACCGGTGATGCCAGCAGAGTTAGCAGCAGTGTTGGAGAGAAGCCTCGGCCGTCTAGGCTCGCCACCAGCAGCTGGAGGAACTGCTTTCCCAGGTGGGGCTGCTTTCCTGATGAGGCGATTTTTCAGGTGAGTTGACTTCTCAGGTGAAGCGTTTTTTCAGGTGAGGCGTTTTTTCAGGTGAGGCGATTTTTCAGGTGAGGCGATTTTTCAAGTGAGGCGATTTTTCAGGTGAGGCGCTCCGTTCTTACGCTATCTTGGGGTGGGGAAGGTGGGTGCTATCTCTGGCCTTGTTGGTTGGAGAGAGGAGTTATCTGGTGCCTTGCCGTGCACCGACCATCAGGCGGAGGAGTTGCTCTCTTAGGTGAGGCGCTTGCTCAGCTGTGCTGGGTGCTGCACCATGTGGGAGGCTTTTCCAGGATGTAGGGTTTAAGGTTTAGGGTGCAGCTGCAGGCAAGGTTATCAATCAAGGCTACTGCTGTTCAGTGCACGACTGCATGCTATGTTGCGAAAGACGCGTCCTGCGTCTTAGACGGTTGCGTCCGGACGCAGCGTCTTAGACGCAGGACGCTTCATGTGGGTCTGGGAGACGCTACAAAAGACGCATGCCCGGGCAGGGCAAAAAAAAACCCCCGGGCAGCCAAAAAAAATGTTATAGGGCATGGGAACAAGCCTCCGTCTCCAATATCCACTATAAACGCAAGGATATAGGAGAGAGGAAGATCTAGGCATGAAGCCATGGCGTAATAGCGTGAAGTTGAGAGAAGCATTATCAAGTCCTCTAAAGTAGTACTGACGGATTCTGCAAGGTGACAGAATTCGCGACCAACCCTAACTTATCGATCTCCAAGATTGACTCCCTACCACACAAAATCGTCACGTCTTGTGCAACCAAAATCCAACCAATTTTTGTCTCTTGACCACATACCACCGCTCTGGATCTAGAAAACCCAACCCGACCAATTTCGAAGTTGGGCGAATCCATGCTGATGCACGAACGAAACTTTCAAAAACTTTCTATGACAATGCTCTCCGCCTCACGGCAGCCATGGATTCTTCCGAGACCCTGGATCTCGCCAATGTATCACCTATTGTACGACATTCCCGCTAACAGCATAACCATTGAGATCGTCTACTCTCAGGGTATCTGTGGATATTTTTTAAATGTTCAAACAGTGAACATTCGTCCCTACACCCTGAAGACGAGCAGAAGCCATGGTTTCGGGTTTTCCGTGCGAGGTGTTTCCAAGGACGCGTTTCCAAGGTTTCAAGATGACATCAAGGTTTCCCACAGGCAACAACAAGCAGTCATCGCTCCTACAAAGGATGTTCAGTTCGTGCTCAGGCTCTATTATTCTCCGGTACTGCACTGGCTTTGGTGGTTGTTTTTTCATCATTGCACGATGGCTCCTCGTGTTAAGAAGGCTGCTGCTGCTGCTGTCACCGCGGCTACCGCCGCTGCTGCGGCTGCTGCTACTTCGGCTTCTGCTGGGGTTCCGTTGGTCTCCGCATCCTCTGCTGCTCCGCCGGTGACGACTCCAGCCAAGCCAAAGTCTATGTCGAGACTTCCTCTTAAGTCTGCTACTGCCATGAAGGCGTCCAAGGGACCCTTTCAGCCTGATGAATCTGAAGCTCTGACCCTCTCGGCGAAGCTCGCGGCCATACGCATTGAGGAAGCTGCGAATGAAAGCAAGAAGGGTCAAGATAAGGTTGTTCTCAAAGATGCTGTTTCTGATGCTGCTTCGGAAGGTGAAGATGTGGCTCAGGGTGACGACGTTGACGACTTGCGTGACAATGTTGATGATGGCTCGGGACCGTCGGGTGTTACTCACTTGCTCAATGATGAGGACGACGGGCTCATTGCCTATGACTCTGACGAGGAGGCCGAGGAAGTGTCCAAAGGAGAGATCGCGTCACGCTCCCGCTACCCGATCACTTTTCTGATCCCTGAAGATTTTCTGCCGGAAGTACCTCGTACGCAGGCAACGATCAAGGGTTTGGTGAGGATTTGGAAGGATGAGTTGTCGGATGGGGCTCTGGTCACCACGACGTACCAGCAGCTGCCGTCTGGTTTCCTGTACAAGAAGTATTATGGTCACATGCAAGTTACTTTTGATAAGGCATCTGACGCTAACTTTGTGTGGCGTAACCAGGTTGAGCTTAAGTGCAAGAACGGTACTTACGTTACCTTCGACTGGCAATATCCGGAAGACCCTGCTTTCGCCAGGCAGAAGGCGACGAATCCAGCAGTGATTGAGCTTTACTTCAAAAAGGTCCCTGCTGAGATTTCACCCACGATGCTGCATGGGATGCTGATGGCTCCACTCAAGAAGAAAAAGAAGTCAGTTTTTAAGGAAGGTCTTTGTTTTCACCGGGCGCTCAACTCGGTTACTGGCCTGGGTACGGACCGGATCAAGGGACTGGTGGTTGCACACGAGGGTGATTTGTACCGGTGGAAGCATTACATTGAGAACCCGCTCAACAAGGACGAGATTTTGCTGATTCACTACCCTGCTTTAAAGTGCAGCCTGTGCGGAGGACATCACTCGATCCACAATCACAATGATTTCGTCGTCGAGCGTCAGAATAACATCACCAAATGGCACCTTACCATTGGGAGGGTCCATGAGCTGAATGGTAGCTGCGGTGATTGTGCTGTCGCTGAAGGAGTTTCGCGCGTTTCGGTGTCGCTTTCTTCTTACCTTTTTTCCCGTGTACTCACACCGTTGTTGCGCAGCTGCTGCGACCACTGCATCAGATACGACCAAGATTATCCTCAAGGACCCGTCCCTGGTGCTCATTTCTACCAGTGGAAATCGGGAGGAATGGGTTTGTCTTCAGGACAGCTGCGAGAAGGCTCACGGTTCGTCATTCGAGCAGGCTGCGCATCACGCGCTGACCCAGCGGCACCGTCATGGGGCTCCGAAAGGGGGAGAGTCACTCCGTCTGCTGAAGGGGAAGATCAACCTCAAGCACCTGAAGAAGGATTATGGGTTATAGAAGGGGAAAGGAGAGGCAGAAGCTGCATGTTAGCATCACCCGTGTTTGTACTTGTCTTTTTTAAAACTGCTGTCCGTGTCTTACTCAGCCCGTGGATGCTTGGGGCTTCTCGGCGGTTTCCCAATGAACAAAGCCTCTTACCTGTCGATACGCGAGCTCAATGTCAACGGGCTCGGGAGCCGAGGGAAGCATAAGCATCTGAAGGCATGGCTTAAGAAACCACCTGATATCTTCGTCTTAGCTGACACACGGATTGGTGCGGATCACGATTTCTGGAAGAAGCTCAAAGTCCCCCACTGTCACGCCGTTGGTCCTGCGGGGAAAGCAGAGGGGGTTGCCATTTTAAGTTTCAATAAGGCTCTTGTTTTTACTAACATTGTCGCACACAGCTCGGGTCGGATGCTTCAGGCTGATGTCCAGTGGGACTCTTTCTGCTGCACGATCTTGGCTGCTTACTTCCCGGCGAAGGCTTGCTGGCGTCGGCCGTTCTATGACGGGGTGCTGGCCCCTTTTATGACGCACTCTGTAGGGAGGAGGAATTTTATCTTGATCGGGGACCTTAACATGGTGGAGGACCCATTGGTGGATAGATCGTATGGAGCGGGCTCGTCTGGAGAAAATGGCTGCGTGTTGCGGATTTGCTTAACGCATTGCCTTACCGACGCCTTTCGCTGGATGAACCCAGTGCTGAAGGAGTTCACCTTTCTGTCCAGGTCTGCCAAGACCAGCTCACGCATTGATCGAGCGCTTGTCTCGGCGCCGCTGTTGCCGTCACTCTCCGAGGCATCGCACTGTCGGCCGCTGAAGGGTCTTTCAGACCATTGGTTCGGGGTGAAGGTGACCTTCAAAATCAGCCTGCAGCTATGCATGGGGCTTGGAATATGGAGGTGCAAGGCAGCAGAAATTGGTAGGCCAGGTGCAGCGAAAGCGGTTGCTGCGGTTCGCGAGGAGCATGATAAAATGGGGTCGGGCGATTTCACTGCGCTCATGAGGAAAATGAACATGGCATTAAAGAAGTACTCTACCGAGGAGCGGAAGCGGGTCAAGGCTACCCTTGCTCACCTGGACGCTGCGGTAGCAGTTTTGCAGCAGGAGGTGATGCGAAACCCCTATTGCCCCACCCGGAAGGAGGAGCTGAAGGTCAAGGAGTCCCAGCTGGCGGCGTACCTCGCCTCGGAGCAGGAGAGGGTCTCGCTCATGGCGGGGATCAAGGAGCTGCGTGAAGGGGAGCTGCCTGGCAAACTCATGTCTGCAAAGGTCAAAACACGGGAGGAAAGGACCATGATTACGTCGCTGCAGTGGAAGGGAACGGTGCGAAAGGATTCGAGCGGGATATTGGAAGCCGCCTCTGAGTTCTACGCGGAGCTGTTCTCGGAGCCTACCTCAACTGCAGACAGCACATTCTGGCCGGTCGCTCCGGACAAAATGCTGGGCGAGGAGCAATCGCAGCTGCTGGTAGCGGACTGGTCTGAAGCGGAGGTGAAGGAGGCTCTGGACGGCATGGCGAAAGGCAAGTCCCCTGGTGCCGACGGAATCCCGAAAGAGTTTTTCAGCCAGCATTGGGACTCGTTGGGGGGTGACGTCATCGGGTTTGTGAAGCAGTTTGAGGAGACGGTTGTCCTTCCTCCTGCGGCCTTGGAGGCTGTCACTGTCTTGCTGCACAAGAAAGGCGCTAAGGACCAGGTGCAAAACTACCAGCCGATCACGCAGCTCAACAGCACATACAAGTTGGTGGCGCGGGTGCTGGCAAACAGGATGCGGAAAGTGCTGCATAAGGTCATTTCAGAGGAACAATACGGTTTCTTACCAGGAAGAAGGCTGGCTGACGGGGTCTCGCTGATCGCGGATATTGTCGACGCGGCGAAGTGCAAGGATGCTGATTGGTACTTGCTTCTGGTGGACTTCCAGAAGGCTTTTGATTCGGTTTCTCGTGATTACCTTTTCGGCACGATGGAGAGGATGGGTTTTCCGCGGAAATTCGTGAGGTGGTGCGAAGGTCTTCATACAGGATCGACGACGCGGCTGCTGCTGAACGGCTGGCTGGGGGAGCCGGTGGCGGTCAGTAAGGGGGTGCGGCAGGGGTTGTTATTAGTAAACAGGTGGGCTGCGGAGGTCTGATGTCCATCAACCTGAGTGTTACTGAGACGGCGAGACAAACTCCATGAAATGAAAATGGTGAGCCTGGTTTAAGCTTGTATGCTAGATCGTATTTTAGTAAGCCAGTTTGAACAAAATCGAATCTTAACGTCAGAACTTGAGTAAGGGGGAGCCGGTGGCGGTCAGTAAGGGGGTGCGGCAGGGTTGTCTGCTGGCGCCGTATCTCTTCCTTTGCGCGGTGGAGCCTCTCTGCCAAGAAGCAATAAGGAGAAAGCTGGGAATTAGTAACCCGTTCGGGGATCGTCTCGCTTACCTCGGGTACGCTGATGACACCACACTTGTGCTCAAGGGGAAAAGGCAGATTGGCAGGGCGGTGAAGCTGCTGGGCGAGTTTGGTGATAAGTCGGGGCTTCGGGTGAACAATGACAAGTCTGCACTCCTGCCCTTGGGGAAGAACCTGCGCAAGAAGCCGGACAAATCGTCAGCCTTCAAATGGGTTCGGTCGAACGAAGCGGAAAGAGTTCTTGGGGTGTGGATCTCACCTTCGGAGGATGCGTCGGTGACTTGGGAAATCACCCTGTCGCGAGCAACGGCGGAGTTGGTGAAATGGCAGATACACTTCCTGACGACGTCCGGAAGGGTCGCGGTGGTTAACGGGTACATTAATCCAATCCTCGCCTTCCAAGCGCAGGTCTACCCTCCTCCATCGGAAATCTGGGCGAAGCTGGTGAAGCTGCTCCATAACTTCGTCACGGGTAATCATTCAACGGCAGGAAAGCATTTTGCGCTCTGGAGCCAGGAGCTGCTGTTTAAAACGAGAGGGGAAGGCGGGCTTGGCGTCCGTGATCCGTGTGCTGAGCTGGGTGGCCTGGCGGCCAGGAGGATTGCGCTGCTGGCGTCGCAACCACTGGGTCTGCGTGCTGACCTCGCGCTCACGGCTCTGGATGTTCCTGACCTTTAGGTTTTCTGGGCCCATGCGGGGTTGATCAAGCAGTGGGAAGGACGGTGCGAGAGGTGGAAGCGGACATGTGAGCTGTTCCTGGTGTCCAGTTTCCCTTCATGCGTCGGTGCTTCGTCGGTATGGGAGGTGGAGCAGGAATTGCTGCTTTTTAATCGCCGTCTGCTTCTGAACGGGAAGACACCCGCGGGGCGGCAGAAGGCGGCTAAGTCGCTGAAGCGCTCGGTGTTGGGAGACGTGATTAAGGTCGCTGAGGACGGTTCGAGATCTCTGAAAACTCCCCAGGAGCTCGAGCGGGCCTTCGGAGGAACAGAGGGAGCGAAACTGGCGAAGAGGATTTTCGATGCGGCCCCGGACGAGTGGAAGCAGATGCTCATGGCGCCAGTCACAGCGCGCGCGGTGCTAACGGCCTCTAAGTTCGTGCTTAAGGCGGGGACGAGTTACGGGATCTGGAGGATTGAGAGTGTAGAAGGTGAAACCCTGGTTTGCCGTGCCATCAGGTGCTTCCGGGGGGTCTTGGGGGAAGCAGAGGAGAGGCTGTGCAATTTTCTGCCGCGCGAGGTGGTTCCTGCAGTGGTCAGGGATGGTCGGTTTCTTGGCCCTGCGGGCGGCCCTTGGGCAAGATTGTTGTGTTCCCCCATCTGGGAGGGGGATCGGCCGGCGCAGCTGAGGCAGCTCAAGGAGGGTTTCAAGCGCTTTGGCGGAAAACCGAAGCAGCAGACCACATGGGAGGAATCCCTTGGCCGTTCGATCGACTGGGGGAGAGTGATTGGTGTAAGGGATTCACCAGCTCTTCCGAACCGTGCGCGGGACGTGATGCTCCGGATCCACAGCCGGAACCTGCAGGTGGGGGAGCGGTTACACTTCCTTGGTGCCGGGGTAGCCTGCCCGCACTGCGGGGAGAAGGAGACGCTGGAGCATGGGCTGTTTCTCTGCCCACGCATACAGCCGGTGGTTCGGGCACTGTTGAAGGCGCTCCGAATGCTGAACCCGCATCGGAAAATCGAGTCTCTGGGGGACATGATCTTCAAGAAGGAGGGTACAGCCTCGGGTTTTCCCGAGGCTACGATCACGGCAATCGCGCTCCACCGGATTTGGGTCGAAAGGTGTGACGCGGTTTTCGAGCGCAGCAAATTCCGGGCGAGAAGGGCTCTGCGGAGGATTGCGGCTTCCTTTCAGCTGCATGTCAGGATCTACAAGCGTGCTAAGGCGGTTCTAAAAGGCTCGGTGCCATTCGTCCTGGCTTGGATGATGATGAGTGCCGAGTCTTGGGCCACATCATGGACAACTCAGCTCAACCAGCCACGTGGTCCAAGGGCTTCATGGCCATCTGGTCGAACCCAAGGGCTGCCTTCCGCCCCCCTTAGAGGATCAGGATGGGTACGGAGGGAGCAATCCCCCTAGGCCCATCAGCTACAGTCACGACTGCCGATGTATTGTTGCACTTATAGTGTATCTTTGCATTAAAAAAAAAAAAAAAAAATCGAAGTTGGGCTATGTGGGGCTTTCTCAGATCTAGATCTCAATTTGACCCCCGCCCAATGTTCAATCCTCATTTGCTAGCTTTCCTTCTCCAACCAGCGAGCTTTGAATAATTCGTCGAGATCGTCAATGTCAAATTCGCAATCGAATTTTTTTCGGTTAGCCCGAAAACAAAAAACGCCGTGCGTCCTGCGTCTGGACGCTCGTCCTGCGTCCATGCGTCCGGACGCTGCGTCCAGACGCAGGACGCATGACGCGCCCTGCGTCTTTCGCAACATAGACTGCATGTGATTGTTTCCGGCTCCCCCTTTGGTTCGGTTTTCCTGCCTTCTTGTATCAAGTCAAAAGCTAGGCTCGAGCGAAGTAGCTGCAATTTAGTAAGGTGCAGTGCGGTGCACTTAATTATTCCTCTTCCCTGCGTGGGTCACTTACCCTGCCTGTCTTTCCTTCCACCACAGCCTGACACGTCAGCAGATGACCTGGCGAGAGCAGGCAAGGAGATGAGTGATCTGGCGCCAGCTGTCGCAATTGCACTGGAGCTGCAGAAGAAGACAAGGTAGGCTCATGGGAATGCACTTCAGCTTGTGGGTAAGTTCTGATTCTGCCCAACAAGCAGTAGGGGTATAATGCATTGTGCGTATTGGAGTGCGCATAGTCAGCTTTGGTGTTTCAACTGGGGATGGCACAGGTGTATGCATACCGACGTGTGGCACAGGGGATATTGTGATTCTGGTTCTCCTCCTCACCTTCACCTTCCATCCTCCCCCTTTCCTCTTTCTGGTTCTTCCTTTCCTCTTTCCTTCTGGTTCTTTCCCCTTTCCTCCCACCTCCTTCTCAACCCTCAGCAGCTAGTAAACTTGCGCGCGCTATTAGGAGACAAGAGCAGCCTTATATCGAGGACAGAGATGGTGTTTCAGTCGACTCAAAACCCGTTTCGCACCTGTCTCCACTTTCAGGAGCTAGAAGACTTGCATGTGCTATTGAGGGGGCAAGCGCCTTCTTATAACGAGGACAAAGATGCAAAATCAGGGAAGAAGGGAGGCGACAGGGAGGCAAACGAGGAGGACGAGGAGTTGAGAGCGATGGTTCGGGAGGAGATCGGGGTGGTGGGGGGGGAGCAGGAGGCACTGCTGCGGAGTGCAGTGAGGCGGATCCTACCACGGGACGAGGCGGATAGCCGAGGATGCATTGTGGAGGTGCGAGCAGGTGAGAGGTGAGACACGCGATTGGTATTGGTTGATTGTCATCTGGGAGGCCGTCTGGGTGGTGGGTGGGGAGAGGAGATGAGGCGGATGAGGAGGATGAGGAGTTGAGAGCAATGGTGTGGGAGGAGATCGGGTTGGTGGAGGGGGAGAGGGAGGCGCTGCTGCGGAGTGCAGTGAGGCGGATCCTACCAAAGGATGAGGCGGACAGCCGAGGATGCATCATGGAGGTGCGAGCAGTTGAGGTGCGATGGGATGGGATAATACTGATTGTTATCTGGGAAAATATCTGGTTGGTGGGTGGGTGGGGCGAGGGGGGCGAATGAGGAGGACCAGGAGGGAGATTGGATGGTATTGATATTTATTTGGGAGGAGATTGAGGTGGTGGAGGGGGAAGGGATAGAGGCACTGCTGCAGAGTGCAGTGCAGTGAGACGAATCCTGCCCAGGGACGAGGCGGACGGGAGAGGAGGCATTGTGGAGGTGCGAGCAGGTGAGGTGAGGTGAGATGAGATGATATTGATTGATTTATTGATTGTTATCTAGGCCAAACACCTCTTACTTGCTCTTTTTTGTTCGGTGTGCTCACACCACTTGTGGTTGTCTTGTTGTATGTGTTCTTTCTCCTTGCACCATCTCTAACTTGCTCCTGGCCATTCAGGGCCTAGGTTTTCCCTCTTCCCATCTCTCCCCCTTCTCTCTCCCTCTCTTCACCCCGCCTCCCCTCCCCGCCCCCTCTCCCTCCCGTTCATCGCCGCTCAGCCCGTGTGTGTGCAGGCATGGGTAGTGACAGGCAGCCCTCTTTGAATCGACTCAAAACCCGCCCCTCCCCCTTTCTCCCCTCCCCGCCCCCTCCCCCTCCCATTCACCGCCGCTCAACCCGTGTGTGTGCAGGCACAGGTGGCGACGAGGCAGCCCTATTTTCCTTCCCGTTGCCCCCGCTCTCATCCGCGTTCCCCCTCTCTCCCCCTCTCCCTCCCATTCATCGTCGCTCAACCCGTGTGTGTGCAGGCACAGGTGGCGATGAGGCGGCCCTCTTTGCTGCTGACGTGTTCCAAATGTAAGTGAGCGGGTCGCTGGATCGTGATGAGGTGGATATGCTTTAATATTGATGCATGCGCTGAGATGATGAAAATGATGGTGAACGTTGATTGGTTGGACGTTGTCCCAACTCTTCAAACCTTAAAGAGTTTGAGCTGACAAAGCTTGTGTTGGCGCTAACTGTTTCGATCTGCTGTATCTGGTCTGAATGCGAATGTGATTGTGAATGTGAATGCGAATGCGAATGCGAATGCGAACGTGAATGCGAATGTGAATGCGAATGCGAATGTGAATGTGAATGTGAATGCGAATGCGAATGCGAATGTGAATTTGAATGTGAATGTGAATGTTAATGTTAATGTTAATGAGATGGGACGGGACGTGTTGGGATGGGATGTGATGGATGCTTGTGGGTGCAATTTGGTGTGGAGGGGTGCAATGTGGTGTGAGGTTTTGTGGCACGGTTGTCATGGCAGGTACCAGCGCTTCTGTGCCAAACGGGGATGGCAATTTGAGGTTCTCGATGTTACCGAGATTGAAAAGGGCGGATACAAGGTGCGTGTTGGGCGGTGGGGAGAGGGAGGAGGGGAGAGGGAGGAGGGGAGAGGGAGGAGGGGAGAGGGAGCCTTACAAAAGGCGGGAAGACAGGAGGGCGCGGCAGTGCATCACCTGCTGGCTCCATGCGAGAGGTTTTTTTCTTTTAAGCGCGTAAAGAAGCATCTCTCTATCTGCAATCCTTTAGCAGAGTCAGGAGGGTGCTGCTGCACGAAGTTCGTGGCAGCCACGAACCACCTGTGGCTTCGTATGGATAATCCTTCAGATTTTCGTAGAAAACACACGCTTCCTGCTCTCACATTTCCCCGCTCACTCCATGACCCTTCTCCAACTCCTCAATTCCCCCCCCCCCCCTCCCCCCCCCCCCCCTTTCCTCGTTTGCATCTGACAGGAAGCGAGTGCGAGTGTGACAGGGGAGGGGTGTTTGGGTGGCTCAAGTGGGAGAGTGGCGTGCACAGGGTGCAGAGGGTACCGGCCACAGAGAAGGCAGGCAGGTGGCACACGAGTGCTGCTACTGTAGCGGTGTTGCCCCAAGCTGACGAGGTGAGTGGTGCAGAGGGGTACTGAACGGTGCAGTGCAGAGGGGGTGGGCGTGTTTGGGTGGCTCAAGTGGGAGCGTGGCGTGCACAGGGTGCAGCGGGTACCAGCTACCGAGAAAGGCAGGCAGGGTGCACACCAGCGCTGCTACTGTGGCTGTGCTGCCCCAAGCTGACGAGGTACATGCCTCTTTGTGGGTGCAGAGCGGTGCAGAGTGGCTTAGCCGGATGGCACAGCGGTGCAGAGGGGTGCACAGAGGAACATAGGGTGGCAGAGGGTTCCAGCCACAGAGAAGGCAGGGTTAGGGTGCAATACCCAGGCTGCTACTGTGGCGGTGCTGTCCAAAGCAGACGAGGTGAGCGG